CCATGCATAAAATCATTTGTCGTTAAGTTTTACTAATTGTAAATATGTTGTGTATAGATATACATTGACTGTTTTTTTAATATTTTTTAACTAAATACCTTTTTCTATAATTTGTGGACAGTTTATTTAGACAGTTACCTTTTTTATGGGATTTGATTTTATTATATCAACAGTTTCTTATTTTAATAGATCAGTATGTTTGAATTTTAAACGTATATCTTCTTCTTCTCTATATTATTGTTCCAAATCAGTTATTAATTTGTATGACAATCGAGGAATTTTTTTTACTGATTTCATCTATTCCAATAGAGTTTTTTCTAATTTTTTGATCATTAGGATCAATTATAATTGTATTGAACAAAAATTTTAAAAATTTTGTTCCTTTTTCGGAATCAATTCGTCTTTATTCTTGTTTTGAAAAGAAAGAAAATATTTTCCAATTGAAACTCGATCTTGATTCTCTAGTAAATTTAGTAATTAAACTTGAGAAATGAAAATTTTTTGCAAAGAATGTTTTTTTATCAATGGATCTATTTTCTATTCAAATTCTAGGCAATCAATATTAGGAAAAAGAATACCATGAATCTTATTTATTCCAATTGTCCCTATAAAATTTCTATTGATGGTTAATATTAGATTGAAATTGACGGTGAAAACCATTTTTTGATTGTTCCACGATATGGCCCAGTTCTATCTAAGTCATAAACAATTTTATGCTTACAGATTATTAATATTATGATTAATGTTTATTTTAACTTAGTTTTTATTGAAAGACATTGTGATTGGTCTTCAAGGGATCAAGAAATGCTTGTCACACTTTGTTGTCAAATTATAAAAATTCAATTATTGGTTAAAATGTCATTGAATCGATGTCACACTATGTGCACCAATGTATTTTGTGTCTAAGCAATGAAACAATGATGTCACACCATGTTGTCAAACTCGTACATACAAAATAGTGTCTAATCCCATTTCAATTTATGTGACAATTTGTTGTGACAATGGGACAACAATTTTTATTGTGTGTTCCAAAACAATCTGACAACGTTGTCACACCTTGTTGTCACATTATTACATGTAAAATAGTGTCCAATCAATTAGCACTTATGTCAGCATGCAATTAGATAATGTTGTAACACATTGTTTGTCACAGTGTGACAATTAGAGTAATGTCTAGGCCAACTAGAATTGATGTGACACTGTGTTGTCGCATTGTGTGAAGCAAGACATTTTGTTTTGGGTATGAAAACTGTAGATACAAAGAGTTACTAAGTAATGTGACTTCAGAAATTGAACAACATAAATGCAACATTAAGATGCATAATAACAGTAGTTAGTAGTTAGAAGAATTAAAAGAAACAAATTATTGGTGATTTTGTTGGTAGATTTCATGTCTTTTATCTCATAAAATTTGGGTCTTTTATTAAAAAAAAAAAATTATTGACCGTTGATGCACCAATAATGTCGCCGATGACAAACGTTTTGTTGAAACCCTAGTTTTATTGTTGTAGGATAATAACAGGTTTCTTCAAAACCCGCTTTTTCGAGATTATAAAATCGGTGGAGACAATATTTTGAATTTCAAATTTTTACGAGAGACCATTCCCTTAAATCTTGTAATATTTGTCCATTAATTGTGGAAATGTGACGATGGTTGTTTGAATTCCAACGATTTCATTTTTCCATTTCTTTACACAAAAGTGTGCATAAAAGGATGTAATAGATTATTTTATTAGGAATTTTGCTCAAAATATTTTAAAAAGTGAATTTTTTCACAAATAATAGTATGNAAATCTTGTAATATTTGTCCATTAATTGTGGAAATGTGACGATGGTTGTTTGAATTCCAACGATTTCATTTTTCCATTTCTTTACACAAAAGTGTGCATAAAAGGATATAATAGATTATTTTATTAGGAATTTTGCTCAAAATATTTTTAAAAGTGAATTTTTTCACAAATAATAGTATGTTTGGTACAGTGGAAAAATGGGTGGAAAGAAAGTGAGAGAGGAAAAATGGACGGGAAGGAAGATATTTCTATTGTTTGGTACTAAAGGAAAGTAAGAGGGAGTGGAAAGTGAAAGAGNGGAAAAATGGACGGGAAGGAAGATATTTCTATTGTTTGGTACTAAAGGAAAGTAAGAAGGAGTGGAAAGTGGAAGAAAATCTCTATCCTTCCAACCCACCAAATATTTTCAACTCAAATTTTGGAGGAAAGTAGAGGGAAAAAGTGAAGGTAAGACAATAATTTTTTATGTTGGCCTTTTTACCCTTTACTTATTGGATACATTTCATNGAGGAAAAATGGACGGGAAGGAAGATATTTCTATTGTTTGGTACTAAAGGAAAGTAAGAAGGAGTGGAAAGTGGAAGAGAATCTCTATCCTTCCAACCCACCAAATATTTTCAACTCAAATTTTGGAGGAAAGTAGAGGGAAAAAGTGAAGGTAAGACAATATTTTTTTATGTTGACCTTTTTACCCTTTACTTATTCGATACATTTCAATCCCAGTTCACACATTTTTTGTCGAGCATTAAGAGATAAATTTACTGTTGTATTTCCTCCAAAATTAATTCATAACAAAAATAAGGGAATTAAAAGCTTTTTCAAATTAATTGGATTGATTTGTAACAAAAAATTCACTCAATATATTTAAGAGTAGAATTGTAAATTGGGTATACATGTTTTTTCTTTTCTTTCAGTTTTCATCTAATACCAAACGATTGAAAATATATTTTTTCTATTTTTCATCCCTTCTATCAAACAAAAAGGAAGGAAAATAATTTTCTTTCCTTCATGAATANTGATTTGTAACAAAAAATTCACTCAATATATTTAAGAGTAGAATTGTAAATTGGGTATACATGTTTTTTCTTTTCTTTCAGTTTTCATCTAATACCAAACGATTGAAAATATATTTCTTCTATTTTTCATCCCTTCTACCAAACAAAAATGAAAGAAAATAATTTTCTTTCCTTCATGGATTGAAAATTTATTCTTTTCATTTTTTCTTCCTTCATTCTTTTAATTTTTCATACCGAACGGACCATAAGTGCCTTATAGTCTACGAATTTCTAGGAAACCCATTTTCAATTGTACCAAACAGCCCATAAATGTATATGTGCTAGCTTTTGGGGGGACAACTAGGGTCCGGTTGTCCGGGCTAGAGCTATAAAATGGGCAAAAGGCCCATATTATTGGTTCCAGGCCCACCAACCCCGCTCGGCCCCAGACACTATACTTCAAAAGTTACAATTCTTTTTCGTTTTTGGTCTTTGAAAAAAAGGAATTTAAATGGTTCAGTGAGCTATCAACCAAAATTTTCGACTCCGAGATATGCTAGCCTAGTTAGGTTCCTTTCCGAAAAGAGTAACGTGCACTATTAAGAGCCTTATAATTCCATCAATAAGGACCTATCGTACTAATTTTTTAGCACTTTTCTTACCCCCACCTCTTTTTTGAAAAAAATAAAAAGATCATATCTTTCTAGTTGCAATCTTCTCTGTTTCAGTTATATACAGGCCCAAGTGATTTTATCTTTTGTCTACTTCAGAATCTTTTCATAGGAGTCATAAATCTTTGTTACTGTGTGGTGATTATAATGAGTTACGTAACTTACCGTAAAAGTAGAGAAAATATAACTTCTATAACGTAGAAAAAATGATAATTTTTCCCATCTACATATTAAAAAAAATAATATTTTCTTATTCTTCAATTCCTCCTTTCATTTTTTTTAATCTCCTCATTTCATCGAATAGTTAAATATAATCAAAGGGATTAGCTTGCACTCGTACACAAAATAGAGCAAGAGCAATGCATACAAACTCGCAGAGGTGATTCGGTGGCTAAATCTAATATTTGATAATTAAAAGGTCTCAAGTTCAACACTTCTAATATTTCTTAAGGGTCAGCCACTTGATAGATATTCTAAATCGTTCAGGATTACGGTAATCGGTATTTGAGGTTGATAAAATAATCGATGCAAATCTGAACATATTGTAAAAAAACAAAAAAAAAAATCATATACACCTAACAAAGAAAGGAATGAGGACAACGAATTAGTGAGCAAATCATACTCAACATCTTAGTCAATGTTATAGGCCGACAAACTATCTTTTTTTTATTTAACACTCGTTATAAATCGAAACAATTATAAAATCTAAACCTCAATTTATGTGGATTCAATCAAATTGTACTTTTATTCTTCTAGGCTCTAAGAAAATCTTTATTTCTCAGCTAAAAAGTGAATGATAAATAAAATTCTTACTGTGTTACGGTTAGTGCAAGTTGTTCATAATCCTTTACTAGTCAACGGACTTTAATTTAGATTATAATTTTTTGAGTTACTAGTCGAGAGGCTATAATTTGGATTATACATTTTTAGTCTTTAAAGTACGCGTGTAGCATCTATTTGGTTCCCAATTTTTTAGTTGTGTATATTTGGTTCCTAAGTTTTCTAATTTATATTTATGTAGTCCAATTTCAAATGTCTGTTAAAAAATCGTTAGTTTTTTTGATCATGTGCCAATCATGTAAGACCAAGTATGCAAAAATTAAAAAAATTTAAGAACTAAATAAACACAAATTAGGAATTTTAGAATCAAATAAGCATAAAATTAGAAACTACATGATTGACACGTGACCAAAATCGTCACGATTTTTTGACAAACATTTAGAATTGGACCACTTAAATATAAACTAAGAGCCTTAAGGGACTAAATAGCCGCAATTAGAAGATTGAGATCAAATAGGGACTAAAAGTGTATTTAAAAAAAAAAAAAAAAAAACACCGCATAAGTTTTTTCTTTATAAACACCGTTAACGCGTTAATTAAAAAAGCGCTCAACCAAACGCCCCCTCCCCTCTCTCTCTCTGTCTCTCTCCGCGCCAAAAACGTCTGCCAAAGAAAGAGATTGAAGAGAGCCACAAGAAGCTCAAACAAAGCGGCGAAGTTCTGAGAGAAATTCAACGACTCCGATTTCCTAGGGTTCTCTCAGAATGTCACCTCCACAAACCAGTCCAGCTCTACACCACATCACACGGAGATCGACATCAACAGTGATCAACGGTCACTTCAACACATCACTGTCGCCTATCAATCTCGCCGTCCGTACACCATCCGGTGGATTACCATCATTCAGCCGGAAATCTTTACCGGAGAATAACCAAGATTTGTTATCATTGTTTCACAATCTTGATATGTTCTGTGCAAATTTGTTTAACAATTCCCAACATTCAACCGAAAATCTTTTAAGCAGAATACCCGATATTCTTTATTATCGTTTTTACAATCTTGATATCGTTTGTGTAGCAGTTCCGGCATTCAACCGAAAATCTTTTTCGGGGATTTCATATCATAGTCTTTACAATCTTGGCATATTTTGTGCAAATTTGAGTGATTGTGGCTTTCAAGATTCGCAGAAGAAGAAGGAATTCGATGTAGTTGAGTTTCTGGTGCGAACTAAATATGGTAAGTGAGTTCTTGGTGCTGTTAGACAGCTGATCTTTCAAATTGAAAACTGCATTATCTCACCATTAATGCGGGTAAACATATCTCTGTTTTTGATAAATTCGTCCTTGTTTGGAAATTCAATTTCCCACGACATATGATCAAAAACCTTATTAATAAAAACTTTTTTTAATGTTTCTGTACCCTCTTTAAGTATTTCATATTGTTTATATCGTAATGACATGTGAATTGTTTGGTTTTAGGCCTCACTTTAGTGTATAAAAGGTTTTAAGAAATGTGTAATGTGTGGTACAAATACTCGTCAATGTCTTAAAGGTTCTGGCTAGTGTAGAAGTATGGCAGCATCTGGCCAGTGTAGTAGTATGCCTCTCTGCAGCAAGAATATGGCATCTGGAACCTTTACCCAAATCTGGCATTAGTATGGCGGCAAGCAACTTTCAAGACATTGTGCTCGATTCTTGCTTGTTATGTTGCTTCTTCAGTGTATAACCGTAACTTGAGCTTCTCTACATCAGTGTATGGCAAAGGATTCATGGTTTTTTTTTGTATTTTTTGACAGCAATAGCAGTTGGGCTCTGAACCTGGTGCCCGATTTACATTAGAGGCCAAGTTACCACTAGATCAAGGCACTGGTTATAGTAACTGTAATCGAGGGAGGGGGGGAGGGAGAGAGAGAGAGAGAGAGAGGGAGGGAGAGAGAGAGAGAGAGAGAGAGAGAATGAGAAACTGATGGAAAGCTTTTCACTACAATCCTCTTAGGATACTTTAGAGAGGCAGCTATGTTTCACAGAGAAAGAAGGTATTTGTATTCTTCAGAGAGGCATCTAGTTGAGTACTCCTATCATCAGATCTCAAGAGTACGCCTCACATACAAACATTTGGATATACCGAAACTAAACTGAGTGGACAAAGCCTTGTCTGTAACCAAATAGAACTGAAATAGAATGTTTTGANTAAAATCTAAACCTCAATTTATGTGGATTCAATCAAATTGTACTTTTATTCTTCTAGACTCTAAGAAAATTCTTATTTCTCAGCTAAAAAGTGAATGATAAATAAAACTCTTACTTTGTTACGGTTAGTGCAAGTTGTTCGTAATCCTTTACTAGTGAACGGACTTTAATTTAGATTATAATTTTTTGAGTTACTAATCGAGAGGCTATAATTTGGATTATACATTTTTAGTCTTTAAAGTACGCGTGTAGCATCTATTTGGTTCCCAATTTTTCAGTTGTGTATATTTGGTTCCTAAGTTTTCTAATTTATATTTATGTAGTCCAATTTCAAATGTCTGTTAAAAAATCGCTAGTTTTTTTGATCATGTGCCAATCATGTAAGACCAAGTATGCAAAAATTAAAAAAATTTAAGAACTAAATAAACACAAATTAGGAATTTTAGAATCAAATAAGCATAAAATTAGAAACTACATGATTGACACGTGACCAAAATCGTCACGATTTTTTGACAAACATTTAGAATTGGACCACTTAAATATAAACTAAGAGCCTTAAGGGACTAAATAGCCGCAATTAGAAGATTGAGATCAAATAGGGACTAAAAGTGTATTTTAACAAAAAAAAAAAAAAAACACCGCATAAGTTTTTTCTTTATAAACACCGTTAACGCGTTAATTAAAAAAGCGCTCAACCAAACGCCCCCTCCCCTCTCTCTCTCTGTCTCTCTCCGCGCCAAAAACGTCTGCCAAAGAAAGAGATTGAAGAGAGCCACAAGAAGCTCAAACAAAGCGGCGAAGTTCTGAGAGAAATTCAACGACTCCGATTTCCTAGGGTTCTCTCAGAATGTCACCTCCACAAACCAGTCCAGCTCTACACCACATCACACGGAGATCGACATCAACAGTGATCAACGGTCACTTCAACACATCACTGTCGCCTATCAATCTCGCCGTCCGTACACCATCCGGTGGATTACCATCATTCAGCCGGAAATCTTTACCGGAGAATAACCAAGATTTGTTATCATTGTTTCACAATCTTGATATGTTCTGTGCAAATTTGTTTAACAATTCCCAACATTCAACCGAAAATCTTTTAAGCAGAATACCCGATATTCTTTATTATCGTTTTTACAATCTTGATATCGTTTGTGTAGCAGTTCCGGCATTCAACCGAAAATCTTTTTCGGGGATTTCATATCATAGTCTTTACAATCTTGGCATATTTTGTGCAAATTTGAGTGATTGTGGCTTTCAAGATTCGCAGAAGAAGAAGGAATTCGATGTAGTTGAGTTTCTGGTGCGAACTAAATATGGTAAGTGAGTTCTTGGTGCTGTTAGACAGCTGATCTTTCAAATTGAAAACTGCATTATCTCACCATTAATGCGGGTAAACATATCTCTGTTTTTGATAAATTCGTCCTTGTTTGGAAATTCAATTTCCCACGACATATGATCAAAAACCTTATTAATAAAAACTTTTTTTAATGTTTCTGTACCCTCTTTAAGTATTTCATATTGTTTATATCGTAATGACATGTGAATTGTTTGGTTTTAGGCCTCACTTTAGTGTATAAAAGGTTTTAAGAAATGTGTAATGTGTGGTACAAATACTCGTCAATGTCTTAAAGGTTCTGGCTAGTGTAGAAGTATGGCAGCATCTGGCCAGTGTAGTAGTATGCCTCTCTGCAGCAAGAATATGGCATCTGGAACCTTTACCCAAATCTGGCATTAGTATGGCGGCAAGCAACTTTCAAGACATTGTGCTCGATTCTTGCTTGTTATGTTGCTTCTTCAGTGTATAACCGTAACTTGAGCTTCTCTACATCAGTGTATGGCAAAGGATTCATGGTTTTTTTTTGTATTTTTTGACAGCAATAGCAGTTGGGCTCTGAACCTGGTGCCCGATTTACATTAGAGGCCAAGTTACCACTAGATCAAGGCACTGGTTATAGTAACTGTAATCGAGGGAGGGAGGGAGAGAGAGAGAGAGAGAGAGAGAGAGAATGAGAAACTGATGGAAAGCTTTTCACTACAATCCTCTTAGGATACTTTAGAGAGGCAGCTATGTTTCACAGAGAAAGAAGGTATTTGTATTCTTCAGAGAGGCATCTAGTTGAGTACTCCTATCATCAGATCTCAAGAGTACGCCTCACATACAAACATTTGGATATACCGAAACTAAACTGAGTGGACAAAGCCTTGTCTGTAACCAAATAGAACTGAAATAGAATGTTTTGAAGGTTTTTTGACGATTTTGATTCAGATGGTATTGATTCAATATAGAAATATTTTTTGACATGTGAGTATTTCGGTATTATTCAACATTAGCCTAAAATATACCATAGTCCAGATATGGACTGTGTCGATGGATATAGATATATAGATTATAATTTGCAATGATTTTGAATTTGGAAACTTTATGAGCTAAATTATGGAAAGTCCTCTTTAAGCTTCCTATCAACCTACTCATCATTAACATATTTGACTATCTATGCATGTATATCAAATCCTCCCTTTTCATCTGACAAGTTTTCAATTTCAAATGCAGGGCACTCCAGTTAATATCAGTGTCGGATCTTATGTTTGGGTTGAAGACCCATCAATAGCATGGACTGATGGACAAGTATCAAAGATAAATGGGGAGGAAGTTGAGATTCAGACTATTGATGGGAAGACGGTATGCGAGCTTATATTATGTCAATTAACAGTCTATTCAAGTGAATAAACATTTGAATTACTAGTCTTTAATATGAAAATCTTTCAGATTTTTTTTTCTTTTCCTTTTCTTTATGTTGCATAGGTAAACAAAATCCATTGAAAAACATCAGAAGGGTGTAAACTATGTAATACACGAAATCTATAAGAAGCCAAAAGCTAGAATGGAGGTTACGGAGCCGAAAAAACTATGTATTCCAAAAGTGGTCCCCAGTAAAGCATCTAATCAATCTACAGAAGAATCTTTGGATTAGATAGCCTCCTAGGAAGCCACAAAAAGGGTGACTTTTTTTTTTTTTGGTTAGAAAAAGAAATTTTCATTAACATAACTATATTTCAGGCTTATCAACCTGCTTACAAAGCTTAACTAGCCTATACCCACTCTAGTCTCTTTACAGATAAGTGTGCTTAGTTGCAGAGGCATGTCCCCGAGCCATTGAGATGGTAGTGTTCAACCTCGAGCCTTGGTTGGGAGTTGGGACTATATAAGCAGCCATGTTAGCTGATCACCTAACATTTTCAAATCTGATCGTAGGGATCTGACTAGCATAACGCCAAATATCCCTCAGAATTTGTTGTATCTCACCTATCATCACCTCAAGCCCCTTTGTGATAGAGTATTAAAAATTTTTGAGTCGATTCCACTATGACATCCACGAATCCCTCCTCCATGGCCAATCTTCAAGCCCCTCTCATAGCTTCTGCTTCTGTAATTAAAGCTGATGCTCCTATCATTGTTTTCGCTTCCCCATTTATCACGGTTCCATCATGATTGCGGACAACCACTCCATAAGCCCCTCTATTCTGTTTGTCCATGTATGCACCATCACATTCAGTTTCAGCCAGCCAAGTGGTGGGGTTGACTTAAGAAATCACGTTTCAAGCTATTATTTTTGTTCATTAACTTTGAAGGATTCCAAACTTGAAGCTCCTTGGCTAGTTCGAATGCTTGTCTTTTGTGTTGTGTGTAAGAGAGAGAGACAGAGACAGAGAGAGGGAGAGAGAGAGAGAGATCTGGGTTTACATGTGAATTATAGAGTCCCAGTGCAACTTGNGAAGGATTCCAAACTTGAAGCTCCTTGGCTAGTTCGAATGCTTGTCTTTTGTGTTGTATGTAAGAGAGAGAGACAGAGACAGAGAGAGGGAGAGAGATCGAGAGATCTGGGTTTACATGTGAATTATAGAGTCCCAGTGCAACTTGTGACAAGAAAAAAAGATTGAGTATCTTTGCAAGCTGGGGGGGTGTATTTATAAATCGAATATTCATGTCTCTGTTGATTTTGTTACTTGGCTTTCATTTATCCACTTGCAAAACTGAGGGTATATCAGTAAGTCTCATACTCCCCTGCTAATTTTGTAACTTGGATTTTATTTTATCCACTTGGCCAGCTTGTTGCAAGTCGGTCAAAAATATATCCGAAAGATGAAGAAGCTCCTGCTGGTGGAGTTGATGACATGACCAAGCTATCATATTTGCATGAGCCTGGAGTACTGCAAAATTTGGCGACTAGATATCAACTCAATGAAATCTACGTAAGATACTTCTCACCTTCAAGTTATATGTTTGCTTAAGCAATGAATTAGTGCAGCTATGGGCGATCTTTCATTATATGATATCATGCTTTGAAATTATGGCAGACCTATACTGGAAGTATTCTTATCGCCATTAATCCATTCCAAAGGCTGCCTCACTTGTATGATGCTCATATGATGGAACAATACAAGGGAGCACCATTCGGAGAACTGAGTCCTCATGTTTTTGCAATTGCAGATATTGCTTACAGGTATCTCTGCATTCCATTAACATATTATAAACTTCTTCCTTAAAGCATCATGCATATTTTTTTGGGTAAATAAAGCATCATGCATATTGTCAGCTGAGTTGCTTCAAATGAATCAGGGCAATGATCAATGAGGGAAAAAGTAACTCTATATTGGTCAGTGGTGAAAGTGGGGCTGGTAAGACTGAAACTACCAAAATGCTTATGCGCTACCTTGCCTATTTGGGTGGCCGTAAAGGCACTGAAGGACGGACTGTGGAACAACAAGTTCTAGAAGTAAGTGGATAATCTGACTTTATTATATGCTTGTCAATGTTTTAAAAGTCTGTGAGGCTTATGCTTCGTGTTTTAAGAATGCATGCGTTTTATCGGAGTCTAAGACAGATATAAATATTTGATACGGCAATCTCGATAACTTAATGGGTAATGTTACTTTAAAAGGGGGCAGTTGCACGGAACATGGCAATATAGTTCAAACATAGAACTTCTGTTGTGGCAATGATGTCAAAACATTATAGGTGTCCTTATGCAGGACAGCAGAAGTTTTTGCAATTTAATGAGTAATAGGGCTACACTTTATGAAAGAATAGACTAGAGTTGATGGGTAATTGATGGATAAGGGATTTGGGAGGAAACTTTATGTTTTAGAGTTTTGTTTAAACAGTTTAAAGCCTGATTTTTTCCAGTAAAAATTTAAAGCTTGAATTCAATGCAGGACAGCAAACAAGATTTCTTGTTTTATGGAGTTTGCAAGTATAACCCCAGCAAGATTAAAGAACTTAGAGTCGAATGGGACAGTTAAGAAAAGGAGAAAAGAGGAAGAAAGAGAAAGACAAATGGTAAGAAGAGCTGAAAATAGACAAAACAACCCAATTTGTTCACCACTATAGTACGGTAAATAGGAACAGGCCACAGTAGTGTGCTACATTACCACTACAGTAACTTATTTTAGTTTAATTTAATAACCTATGAAAGCAAAGAATGAATTAATAATAAACTAGAAATTTGGCGAGAACCCTGGAATCAAAAGGATTTAGGATAAGTAGGACTAAAATTGAGTTTATGGAATGTAAGTCTGGTAAAAGAAATCGAAACCAGGAAGTAGTAAAAATTGAAGATCAAAAGAACTCTTGCTCGGATTTGGACGCATCTGTGATGTTTATGTCTATTCATGTGTTTCATACTTTGAATTTTAGAAACGAGATTTAACTGAAAATTAGATGACAATGGTAGGCAAAATAGATAAGGAAATATTAGGCGGATTTTGAATGTGGCTTATAGAGAGCATGGGGGTTCAAATTAGTTGATTTCCTCAAAATAAAATTGCCAACTGCAAATTCTTTCTTATAGTGGGGTTTCTATACTTTATTGAGGCTCTATTTCATGTTAAGCCTCTCAAAGCAGATAATAAGGAATTTAAAGCTGCCTTCTTGTCCTTTTCTTTTTCTGATCTTGCTTTAACTTGTGAAATTGGTAACTATAGTGGAATTTGCAGTAGCTTTTTTTTTTATTTTGTTCCTAATATTGACCTATCTGTATCTGTCCCACTACATGATGCAAATGCAGTCGAATCCAGTTCTTGAAGCATTTGGTAATGCAAAAACTGTAAGAAACAACAATTCCAGGTGAGATACCGCTAGAGTCATGCTATGGATGAATAGGGAATCGATTCAAGCCCATTAAGCATTGTAATTTCTGAAATTTGTTGGCAGGATGTACTGTTGATGCTCATTTAATTATGTTGATGCAGCCGTTTTGGTAAATTTGTTGAGATTCAATTCGATAAGCAAGGAAGAATATCTGGAGCGGCCATTAGAACTTATCTTCTTGAGAGGTCTCGTGTTTGCCAAATTTCAGAACCTGAGCGTAACTACCACTGTTTTTATCTTCTTTGTGCTGCCCCACAGGAGGTAGTATTTTCACACAACCCTCTTCTATCAAATTGCATAAATGCATAGCCCTTGATGATGATTCACATAATTTGTCACCGTAACATTCCTTTTAAATGTTTTTAACTTTTACCAGGACATTGAGAAATATAAGTTGGGCAATCCGAAATCATTTCACTATCTTAATCAATCAAATTGCTATGAACTCGTTGGTGTTAGTGATGCTCATGACTATCTTGCCACTAGGAGAGCCATGGATATAGTTGGAATAAGTGAGAAAGAACAGGTACGTCTCCTGCATCCAAAATGATTCTGGTGCCTTTTATAACTTTCTGTAACTGCAAATAATACTTTGCTTTTGTCCCAGGATGCAATTTTCAGAGTTGTGGCTGCAATTCTCCATCTTGGCAATGTTGAATTTGCTAAGGGGAAAGAAATTGATTCATCAGTTCTAAAGGATGACAAATCCAAATTCCATCTTCAAATGACTGCAGAACTTTTGATGTGTGACTGGCGCCTTATTATCTTCACTGTTATGTGTTTTTTATTTTCTTAGTTATTGGTGTCTGATTTGATTTATTTTCTTATTTCAGGTGCGATCTTCATGCATTGGAAGATGCACTACTGAAGCGTGTGATGGTAACCCCAGAAGAAGTTATCAAGAGAAGCCTTGATCCTCATGGTGCAACAATTAGCAGGGATGGTTTAGCTAAGACAATATATTCCCGCTTGTTTGACTGGTAAGTTAATACTGTCCTGATAACTACCATCACTAATCTTTCTTAGGATCAGGGTAATTCTTTTTTCCCTAGCATTACACGGTTTGATTTGAATGCATGTGGGATGCTTCGAGCTTGCTGATTTTTTATTACTTACAGGTTGGTGGATAAGATTAATTTCTCAATTGGGCAAGATGCTAACTCAAAATCTCTGATTGGGGTCCTTGACATATATGGTTTTGAGAGCTTCAAAACTAATAGGTATTGATTAAAAAATTTGTGTATGTAAACTTAACCAATAAACAAGTTACTTCTTGATGCCTTAGTCTCTGTAAGTTAAGTTGTGTTTTACAACCATCTCTGCAGTTTTGAGCAGTTTTGCATCAATTTCACAAATGAGAAGCTTCAGCAACATTTCAACCAGGTATGATGTTTGGCATTGTTGATGACATCAGTTCGATCCACTTTCCCAACTTAAAATTGAAATGTTGTGATATCATTCAGCATGTATTCAAGATGGAGCAAGAGGAGTACACAAAAGAGGAGATTGACTGGAGTTACATAGAATTTGTTGATAATCAAGATGTCTTGGATCTTATTGAAAAGGTTCAGTGCACTTCTCGTATTTTGATGTGGCTTTATATCTTCTTTGGTAATCCTACTCTACAGTTGGTTGATCTTGTTCAACCTGAAACTGATTCTCTATTGGATATTTTATACGAATGTGTAAATTCTGTTTATGTAAAGGCCAAGGATTTGACTTCATGTTTCGCAATATAACATGATGTTAAGGCAACACAATTTTCGTAGGACTCGTGTTTGGTTTTCAAGGACAGGATATGTTTGTGAAGGGAGCTTGTTTCCCACATTCAAAGATTAAGGCCAACCAAGATTCGATAAATGGTTTAGGGGCTGTTTCACTCACTGCCAGTTGCTTTTGAGTTGAATGTCTTTAACATGACATCAGAGCTGTGTCGTGGGTGGTCAGTGGACGAAAATCTCTCAAACATTTGAATTCCTTGGTCTACTTGTCTGTCTATTTCAATTTAGTTTGCCAACAATGTATGGACTTGGGTTGCACCTGAGGGATGGTGTGAACTGTGAAGAGAACTTGTATCCCACTAAAGATTAGGTCCATCCAAGTTTTGATATATGGTTAAAGGACCTTTATATTGTCAATTAGTTGTGAACTGGATGCCTTCAACAGTTTTCTGGTAAACAGTTACTTTTATGGAGTATTGATATATATTTTATTGAAGATGAAGATACTTAAGCAACAAAGAAAGTTCGTTAATTGATGCCGATGTACACATACAAGTTCAAAACTGATGCTTTGCTTAAAAAGATCAAACCCCCGCTTACAATCTGTGGGAACATTTGGGTTGTGTAGCAAGAATTTTTTGTGGTCCAACCATTATAGTTGTACTCTAAATGTGGTATTGTATATCTAAGAAAGCATGATACAAGTAAAAAAGAAGTGTATTATGAAAAGATGACATAAATGCTTGAAACCATTAAAGATATAGGGTAAATTGCATTGGCATCGCTTGGGGTTTTTGACAATTATAGGGACATCTTTTTTGTTTTTGAAATTACACTGCCACTCCTTATTAGAATTGTCCATTTATGACTGTCCATAGAAATTATGATTTCCAAATATGCCCTTGTATCTTTTCTAAGCCCAATATGCCCTTGTACATTGGCATCCAAATATGCTTTGCAATACACATTTTGAGGACCTTGTATATATACATACAGATACACCCAAGGAATAATGAAAAACAGAACTAGCTGTAGAGAGAATAATGAATTGAGTCGTCTTGATGGCGATGGTCGGTGGGGTTTAGGTAGTGGTGGTATTAAGTTCACCGAGCAGAGGAAGTAGGGGCATGACAAGATGAAGGTGTTGCTGGTGAGGGTATTATAGTAATTTTAAATTTGGTAAGGGCAAGGTGGGTATTTTGGAAAGATGAGACGCTGATGTCAGTTGTTTTCATCATTGACTGTTAGAGTCGTCTAATAGAGGGGGAAAATCCGTTACAAACTGCCACACTGAAGGCATGTCTCTGAAATTGTCAGAAACCCCAAGGAGAGTTCGTGTAATCTACCCAAAGGTTTAACAAGTGATTTTCTTCAGTATCAAAAAATTTGAATTTTAACTTTCAGAAGGCATAGTGTACGGATTTGTGTAGTGATCTAGAATGTTAAGCTGACGAGTTGCCTTCATTTCTGAAGCTTATACACGTTAATGTTGTTTCTTGCTCTAAAAATACATACAGAAATTATACTGTTTCTCTGGGCCTGGGCATACATCACATAGTTTCAGTTTAGTGAAGCGGGCTAGTTTACAGGCTGGAAAGCCATTCTCTCCAATCATCAATTTGAATTTTCTGAGAAATTTAAGGGTCCTAGTCTCCCAGAAGTGCAAAAACATGGGTCTCAACTGAGATAAACTGGGAATTTGATAGAATTTGGAGCATTTGGTGGTTGCAGACAGTTTGCTAGTAGGGATGAGAGGGCAAATATGTTATGGGGTCATGTTATTTTAATGTTTTTTGCTGATACATATGGTGTCATTGTCTCTTTTGTTCTGTTATTAATTCGTTGTTGTATGTATACATCCTTGGTAAATCTTATATCATGTTCAAACAGTTCCATGTTCTGACTTGCACTTCTCTAAAGTTTTGCGTCAGATTATCTTTTGCAAATTATCAAACATTTCTTTTATATTAGTTTATTTTGCAAAGTATCAAACATTTCTTTTATGTTAGTTTATTTCTGCATGACAATTCATCTATTTTAATCAGAGATATATTCAGTGTGTACTGTATGTTTAGTTTAGCAATCAGTCCATCTCATGAAGTAGTTTTTTTCACAGATATTTTATTTGTACTGTTTGTGCAGAAACCTGGAGGGATCATTGCTCTGCTTGATGAAGCCTGGTAGGATGGATATCATTTGTTCAGGATATATTTGTAGTGCACGTTTATTTTTGTGAGCATGTAGATGTATGTGTGTTGGAGAATTTGCATGTGTTTTTGTGTGGGGAAGTTGATTCTATGCTTTTGCGTACACAATTTGAATCAAAATTTTCATTTACTTATATTGTGGACTTCTTGTTTCCAGTATGTTTCCGAAGTCAACTCATGAAACATTTTCACAAAAGCTTTATCAGACATTCAAAGCTCACCAACGTTTTATCAAGCCGAAATTGTCTCGCACTGATTTCACGATTGCTCATTATGCTGGAGAGGTGATTTGGATTATGGATATTCTTTCAATTCTAAGTGTGCTAGTGTGGGTTGCTGCTGCATGGAAATATCTTCATTTGCCATATGTCTTTTCAGGTTCAATATCAATCTGATCAATTTCTCGACAAAAACAAAGACTATGTTGTTCCTGAACATCAAGATCTGTTAAGCTCTTCCAAATGCACTTTCGTAGCAGGCCTTTTCCCTCCACTTCCTGAGGACACAGCCAAATCTTCAACAAAATCTTCTAAGTTTTCGTCTATTGGTTCTCGTTTTCGGGTATATTTCCTTCTACACACCTAGACTACAGTGCTAGCAAATTTTACATTATTAACTCACTCATTGGATAATACACTTAATTGAATCATGGTATAGATTGTCAATTTTTTGACTTGACACTGCAAGAAGGTAAGAGCTGATAGTGCAATTTAATTGGTGCAGCTACAACTCCAACAACTGATGGAGACTTTAAATTCTACAGAACCACACTACATTAGATGTGTGAAGCCCAACAATCTTCTTAAACCCGCTGTTTTTGAGAATGTCAACGTCATGCAACAACTACGTTGTGGAGTGAGTACAATTTGTAATGTAGATGTCTTGCTTGTTTTTATTCATATATTTGTGGTGTATCCTCATTTTTTGTTTATTGTAGGGTGTTCTTGAGGCAATTAGAATCAGTTGTGCTGGATATCCTACTCGGAAGACTTTTTTTGACTTTCTAAATCGATTTGGTCTTCTTGCACCCGAGGTTTTGGAAGGGACGTAAGTAGCAGGCAGTGTTCCAAAATAAGTACAGATATTATGTTCTTTGTTAACCAGTTTGTGATCTTTGTCAAATATGATCCGTTTATGTTCTCATGTCTGAATTTGTTGCATATATGTGCAGTTATGACGAAAGGGTCGCATGCAAACAGATTTTAAGTAAGACGGGGCTCACAGGGTCTCAGGTAATACAGAGTTTTTCACATTTTCACAAAAACGAAAGTATAAAGTTTTCTCTTGCCTACTGGGTGAATTGGCTGTTATTTGTTCAGTTTCTCTTCTTGCATGTATCTAACAGAACTAGAGATTGGTTGCAACCTAACTTAACATACAAAGAAATTCTAATCCAACACTGAAGTAAAACAAGTGAATGCATATTAGTCTTCTTTGACAAGGGTTTTAGCCAAGGATCAAAATATCGTTTTGAAACAGTTGAACATCCGAAACGTTTCCGTTTCCAAGGAGACCGAAACGAATTAGTGATGAAATCGAAATTCTAATACTTCGAGGTGTTTTATAATGTTTCGAAATATTTTGTTATATTTCAATGTATTTGTACAATCATTTCGGAATGTTTCAAAATATTTTGGTATATTTTGATCAATGTTTTGAAAAAATAATTCTTAATTCTTAATTTTTTTATTTTTTATCATTATGTTTTCGAAACTGGTCGAAACGTTTCCNTTTTGTTATATTTCAATGTATTTGTACAATCATTTCGGAATGTTTCAAAATATTTTGATATATTTTGATCAATGTTTTGAAAAAATAATTCTTAATTCTTAATTTTTTTATTTTTTATCATTATGTTGTCGAAACTGGTCGAAACGTTTCTGTTCCCGAAATACCCCGAAACGTTTCCGTTTCCTAGGTGATTGAAATAATGCACTGAAATGAAATATTGGTCCTTGGTTTTAGTATAACGTGGTTATGAAGCACCTTAAGGTTTATAGATTTTAGCGGTGACCTTTTGGGTACATGCTTCATGAGTAAGAGCTTTAATCAAATCTTTCCCTTCTGCATGCTTCAATTCTCTTCATTTTCTTTCATTTCTTAAAGAAATTAACCTTGTTTCCTTTGTGATTTTTTTCAATGCGTCTTCAAGTATTTGGACGATGACTTTGAAGCATAATCTAGGAACAAAATTTCGTTTCGGTCACCTAGGAAAAGGAAATATTTCGACGTGTTTCAGAAACGTTTCTACCCGTTTCAAAAACATAATGAAAAAAAATAAAAACTTTAAGAATTATTTTTTTAAAATATTAGTCAAAATATACCAAAATATTTTGAAATACCTTGAAACATTATGAAATAATTGTGCAAATGCATTAAAATATAATAAAATATTTTGAAACATTATGAAACACCTCAAAGTATTAGAATTTCGATTTCATCATTGATTCGTTTCGGTCTCGTTAGAAATGGAAACGTTTTAGATGTTTCGACCATTTCGAAATGATTTTTTAATCCTTGAGCATAATAACGTAGTTTGTCATAAGTAGAAAAAAATAGATCTTGCCAGAAAGATATCCAATTGCCTCTGATCAGAAAAATGATTACTTTCGACATGATCACACCTGCCAAGATAGATAGAGATTTACATGACATAGTATATGACGATACAATGGCAGGGGTGAATGTGTCAAGGGCATTTCGTATTTCATGAGAGAAAGGAGGGAGAGGGAAGAAATTAGGAAACTGAAGAATAATGACCACCTTGAACAGAAAGAAAGTTAAGTGGGAAAAACAGCCATGTCATTGAGTATAAATGGATGCATGCTATGGTCTAATCTTCTATACATGAAAAAGTCATGTTATGTGTTCTGCCTGCGGTTATCTCTTGCTTGCTTGTTCCAATCTTTCTCTTCCATACAAGGGGAATTGGTTGCATACCTATGCAATAAAGGTGGATTTATACATGGGGCTCATAGATCGCTTTGCAGATAGGAAAGACGAAGGTTTTCCTACGAGCTGGTCAGATGGCTGACTTAGATGCACGGAGAGCTCAAAAACTTAGCAATGCAGCCAAGACTATTCAAAGGAAGATCAGAACTCATATTACTCGTAAACAATTTGTTGCGTTGCAGAAAGCTTCTATTTTTATACAATCCGTATGTAGAGGTATGTCAATCTGAAAAACTGTGTTGTTGTAGGCTTAGTTATTGGATGCCTTATCGGGCCTGATTGATGTTTTATTTGCTCTCCTTGCACTTTAGGGATTGAATCCACTATACATACTGCATACTTTCATAAGATAGATCATATTTTAGTGGATTTTTTCTTTATTTAGTTTTTGGTGATGACTACTAGGAAGGCTTGCTTGCAAATTGTATGAAAATATGAAAAGGGAGGCAGCTTCTCTTAAAATTCAGACGAATCAGCGTGGACACCAGGCCAGGATGGCCTACAACAAACTGAAGTTCTCTGCCATTGTCTTGCAGACAGGTTTGTGGGCAATGGCTGCTCGTAATGAATTCAGGCACAGAAAGCAAACCAAGGCAGCAATTATTATGCAGGTCAGTACGTGGTCTTTTATTTTGCTTCAAAGATTTGATTTCATGCGTGCTCTGCTAAAGTGAAAAACNGGGCAATGGCTGCTCGTAATGAATTCAGGCACAGAAAGCAAACCAAGGCAGCAATTACTATGCAGGTCAGTACGTGGTCTTTTATTTTGCTTCAAAGATTTGATTTCATGCGTGCTCTGCTAAAGTGAAAAACCAAATATTTGCAGGCCCATTGGCGGGGTCATAGAGCTTTTTCATACCATAAAAAACTCATAAGGGCATCAGTTGTTACACAATGCAGATGGAGGGGGATAATAGCCAGGAAAGAGCTTCGCAAATTAAAGATGGTAGGAGTTGATGTTTTAGTGCTATCAGATTAATATTTCATTTTTCCATGTCTCCATTCTGTCAATTTTATGATGCAAGGTCTACATTGTAAGATTGAGCCATATTACCTAAGTGATATTTCTTTTTACATGTTCTTTCTATGTTTAGCATGATAAATAGCTAAAATGCTATTGTAGAGTATGAGGGGCTGCGAATTACTCCAATGACATTTTAAGTGAGAATATGACTATCCATGCAATGGTGAAGCATCCATCTGATATATGTTTGATACCATCAAAATGCATTCTGGTTAAGGTCTATGATTATTCTCGATTGATAGGTAGAGAATTATGGCGAGATGTTTGATAATGGTGCACCATTTATGTTTATGTAAACTAAATCCGAAAATAAAGCCTGTGTATATAGATTAAAGAAGAGGCTCACTATTATTGCTACTACATGCCAGATTGAATTTGTTCTTCAGTAATTATCCCCTCTTGTATATTTATGACGTGAAGCACCCACAATTTCAGGCCGCAAGAGAAACAGGTGCCCTCAAAGAAGCAAAGGATAAGCTTGAAAAACAGGTGGAAGAACTCACATGGCGTTTGCAGCTGGAAAAACGTTTGAGGGTAACATATCCATTCCGTTAATAATTATTTCTCCTTTTCTGCCTGATATGTAAATGTTTGGTCAGTTCTATGAGAATTCATAATCCGAGGTTCTTAGAAATTCAGAAATTCAAAATCAAGCTCCCTGGTTCTCGTTAATAATAGCTTGCATGATGATTATGATACCCTTTTTGAGGTTTGAAGAAATTACCATGCAAAAAAGTCAAAATACTACTTATACATGGCCTCTGGTCAAACTTGAACATCATGTTTGCAGACTGACATGGAAGAAGCAAAAGGGCAGGAAATAGTGAAGATGCAGCATTCCTTGCAAGCTATGCAAAGCAAAGTTGATGAAACAAATGAATTGCTTGTCAAGGAATGTGAGGCTGCCCAAAAAGCAATTGAAGAAGCTTCTTCTCTTGTCAAAGAAACCCCAGTTCCTGTCGAAAATACTGAAAAGGTTGAGGCTCTAACTTCAGAAGTGGAAAATTTGAAGGTATGCTGGTTACTTATATACTACACCTCTCTCTCTCTCTCTCTCTCTCTCTCTCATTGTGCATGTGTTGTGTCAGATGCTTTGATTGACCGATACCTCTTTCAAGTGTGTCTGAACAAACCAACAAAGAGATAGTTTCATGATTGTATTTCTGCCCAGAAAACTACCTTCAGGATAAAGCGTGGACTAGCTGCAATAACATGTTCCTTCCTTGTGGGGACCAGCTCTAGTTACCTGCAGAATTAAGAGACATTTAATTATCTCCCATAGTAAACAAGCAATTGTTAGTGAAATAGTTTTTTAGGTGGTCTTTTGTGAAATGGATTTTACTACACTCTTGTTTGACTACGACTTTTTGGTCCTTGAATTTTGCGTGGAAATTGGGCAATCATTTGATACTTGTGTAGCATTGACCAAATTGCGGGAACAGGAAGGGGGAGGGGGAGGGGGAGGGAGAGGGAAGCTTTAGGGTTACTTTACTTAAATTTCACATGCAGGTTAACTGCAATCTGTTTATTACCAGCAGGGTGATAGTTTTCTTGATTGCACATTCATAATTAATTTTGGACCTTTCTCAGGGAAAGTTTTCGGCTGGTATTGTATTTTGCCTTAAGACTATTAGTGAGGAAGCACTTCTATGTTTATGTACTTCACTTTTATGTTTTGCATTGAATAGGTACTCACCTTCTTTAAGGTAGCCTCTACTTCAATTGGAGTTGATCCCTTTGATTTGGCTCTGTTAGTTTGTTCTTTCCTCCAAAAGCTTACTGTTAAAAAATGTGAGTCCTGATGTTTATCAAGCTCCCAACAATCTTCTTCACAGGTGAACCCGGCTTGCACATTGAGAGAAACCAACACGAAACATACTTCCAACAGACTAACTAAATGGGGGAACAAAAGCATATGGGATTTTTCCGACCAGTGGTTTTCCTGAGTACCAGAGATCCATGAACTAGGTTGAGGCTCTCCAACCTCTAGTCAGGTCCAGTTTTTTTTTTCTTTCAAGAAACAGTAATTTTATTAATAATCCAACGAAGTCTTTACAGGAGTAATAACCAAATCACAGATTGACAAGACGTCCAACACAATGACAGCTCATCATAAAACATACATACTAAGACTGAACTACAAGCCACACGATGCTTTCCAGCATGCAATAATACAAGAGAGGAATATCGTCGAACTCCATCCTTTAGTCCATTGATTTGAAGTTTGAAATATATTTTCTATTCTAGTTAGAGCAGATGGTGGTCTTTCTACAAATACTCTTCATTTTAGCCTACATTTCCAGTTTTCCTTGTTTTCCCATCCATTAGCTACATCTACATTCTTTATGTGCACACATTTTTATCCATGTGAATTTGTTACTAATACTTAAATATTTCTTTTATGTGCTGTTGCTTGTCCATCTGGTATTTTGAATCTAATGAATGCTGGTCTGGCAGCACTTATGAGAATAGCTGCATTCAGATTTCATTGTGTGCAATTACTAAAAGTACATTTTAACGTCCTCCATGTGACATGTGACATGTGCATGCTTAAAGTACTTGGGTTATTATATTACATGTCGTTTGCAGATAATGAGTGCTNGATTTCATTGTGTGCAATTACTAAAAGTACATTTTAACGTCCTCCATGTGACATGTGCATGCTTAAAGTACTTGGGTTATTATATTACATGTCGTTTGCAGATAATGAGTGCTCTCTCTCTCCCTCTCTCCCATAATTTAACTTTTTCCAAATCTATTTATTCAATCTCTACACTGGTTTCATTACACAGGTCTTGTTGCAATCTGAAAAACATCGAGCTGATGATTATGAAAGGAAATATGCAGAGGCCCTGGAATCAAGTGAGGAGAAGTGTCAGAAACTAGAAGAAACTGAAAGAAGAGTTCATCAACTCCAGGAATCTTTTAACAGGTGGTTTTAGTGCATTACTGCTTATTTTTGTCTTGAGAATCTAGGAATTTTATCATCAAAGGGCATCAACGAGTAAATCTATAAAATCACAACTAAAATTGGGTTTTCTTTTAATAACAGTAAGAATCTAGCCTTCGATATGGTTAAACAGGATTCCCTCTCTCTGTCTCCCTTTTTCTCTGATAAACTCTGACATACTTGAGTGCTAAAGAGGGGCACTTACTGCATGAGGCAGGTCCCCACTATTGTGGTCTGGGGAAGATTATATACGCAATCTATCCCACATGCTGAGAGGTTCTTTCCTTGATTCGAATCCGTGAACGTTCTTCCTATACTATTACAAATTTGAAGTGTTGATTGCAAGCTGAATTTCAGCTCTATTTTTTGGCAGATTCAATGATGCTCTGCTCCCTTCTCTCACTTGATGTTGCTATGAAATTGATCATTAATATAGTGATCTTAATTTGAGACGAACTTTTTCAAGTAGCTTAACAGATATATCTACAACAGTAGTGATTGATATAGCTTCTCTCAGCTGAAGTTCACATTATAGTTTGCTAACATTGACATATGACTTCAGTTGGGCTGTCATATTAAATGTCAACTGTCTGATCAATTGTTAAGGATACAACTCAAAACTAAGTGGCTACGAGGGAAGAAACTCACAAGACTCATATACTAGAGTTTGATTGGTTTTAATGATCTAGGATAAGCTCTAGTATTCCCCCGTACTTGCGACTTCCATTTGCGTGCAAGGGATAAATAGAAGAATCACAAGACAGATTCAGAAACATAACGAGTGCACAAATGACATGAAAAGAGGTGGATTGGATGATGAAATTAATCAAATTGAAATAGAGACTTGTCCAAAACCTCCAAAATCCCGACATATGGCATCATTATTGTTAGTCTAAAATCTGACACTAGAGAGCTAGATGATGTGGTTGTTGACGCTATTGAAGAATGTCCCAATGGAGAAAATGTGATTTCTGATGCTGTCACGGCTTCTTCGAAAAGAGATGACCATATCAATTCTAATATGGGATATCATGCTTCAAGGCGTGCCGCTTCGAGGCTTGTGTTTTATTATAACTTCACATTACAACTTCGTGGTCAACTTCTTGAACATAAGGGCTTGATTCGAAACATATGAACTAGAACATGGAAATTATGTATTTAACTGGGAGCTTCCTTCAGCCTTGTCCAACCAAGTCATGCATTGTTATGTGCAACTTAACAGTGCTTTTAGGTTAACAAGTGCTAGAATGATTTGTTATGTGTTATTAGGTTATAGTTGTCAATAGTATTTTGGTAATTTTGATAATTGCTGGACGTGGAGTGGACTTGTGGTCCATAGGTCTTGATATAGGTTTTGCTATGTTATAAAGGGTTTACACAAACCTTAGGTACTTCCTATAGTAGTACTAATGTTAAAAAGTCAAGAATTTCCTCATTGTTGGGCCCTTGTCCTAGTAGATTTAAGAGTCCAGCAATGTATAATACCAATGTGACCTTTCTATTCAATAAAGTATTAAATTGCGACAACTAAGATTCTGTGTGTGTTTTGAATAACCTCGCAATGGTGAGGTATGCCTTCTCTTTTTGTCTCATCCTCTTGCTCTCTTCTTCTTCTTCTTTTTGTCTTCTATGAACTTTTTTACCTTTACTGCCGTGACCAGAAATAATTTCACTACCTTTTACTTACCTCGAAGTCCTACCATGATATCCATTTATTCCTTAAAACAAAACATTACCTTAGCGACTGTAATCCCTTTTTTGGTAAGTAAACCATTCAAAGGCTTGCTTGATTAAAATCATAACCCCTTGTTGCACCTTATTAAATGCTAAAAGCTCATATTAAAGCTGTTCATTTCAACAACAAAACAAACCATTGATCAGCGCCTAAAAGGACTTTCTTCTGCTGCCCATGGCAGCATTTGTTGCCTCTGTTGTTATTGAACTGCGTTGTGGGTCTTTCAGTATGATTTTGCTTTTATCTCATGTTGTAAGAGTTTTGTAAGGTTGAATATATAGAACAAAGAAGGTAGGAAATAAGTATTGTAATCTGTGCAAAATAGATCAAATAAGTGTTGGTTATAGCACTTTCCAAAAAAGGTGTTGGTTATTGCGCTTCGAACTGTGTTGTTTGAATCAGGTATTTGTGGCAATAAGCTTTGGAAGAATGAAACCTGATCTAATTGCTACATTCAACCAAGCTTAATCCAACTTCCAACTTATTAGCAATTCAAAATGTTATTTCAACATGTTAGGATAATGGTTATTTGGATCTATCATCAAGCTTGCTTTCGACATTGATGATAATTTTTATTTACTTGTTTGATGTTTAACTAGATTTAAAGTGACCGAAGAGGGGAAAGTAAATGCATTTTGTCAGAACTTTTGAATGATAGTGGAAAAGTAGAATATTGTAGGCTGTAGCTATTTTAGTGGAAATGTAGAATTTTGTAGGCTGTAGCTATTTTTGTGCAAATCAAGTTTTCCTTTAAATTGGATTTTCAGTGAAGTAATGGGATCACATTGAATGCAAAATCTGTTGGGGTTTAGGTCCAGACTCTTTATGTTTAGCAGCAATTAACGTTTGCAATTTTTCCGGGAACCAAAGGTGAGGCATTATGGTGTTATCGTAGGTGGTTAATCTCTATTTGGAAATATCTATCTAGCTCACCATCAAGAATGCACACAGTGCTCTCACATGACATATGTATCTTTGTCAATAGAGTATGTGTTCATTTACCATTAGTATTCTTGAGTGATGGCAGAAGTCCTGTTTTCATCTAAACCAGTCTGGATTGTATCATCATGTCATGGTTTTGGTTTCCCTTTTAGGCGAAAGCATCAAAGATTTCCAAAGTAGCATACTATCCAGTACATTTTTGCAGATGCACAGATGGGGTCTTCCCCCTTTCTTCCTCGTCCTCGTCCTGGATCAAGCTACTTCCAGTAGGATTGTAATCAGATAGCAAGAATAGTGATTTAAGTGTATTTTGCTCAGAACGGACGGCATGTGAATATCNTACATTTTTGCAGATGCACAGATGGGGTCTTCCCCCTTTCTTCCTCGTCCTCGTCCTCGTCCTGGATCAAGCTACTTCCAGTAGGATTGTAATAAGATAGCGAGAATAGTGATTTAAGTGTATTTTGCTCAGAACGGACGGCATGTGAATATTTTTTTGTACCATCTTAGATCTTGATAACTAGGTGATGTTTCGGAATATCTGTGTCCCTTTCTCTCTGTGCTTTATCTGGTGAACAGTTCATTTAGGGCAAGGTGATTCGAGAATCCTTGACATAATGATGTTGCAATTTGAAAGCAACTTATTCTTTGATCTGTTCATCTTTTCCTTGTCTCACATGCTGTCGTGTTTGCCCCATACTTCCTTTTATTCCATATTCTCTTTTTTCTAACATCAGTGACTAAATCCTGTTTGAACCTTCTACTTACACTTGACCACCAGAAGCATACTTTCTGAATCAAGATTGTAACCCACCGTGCCTACTTTGATATCAATTTGTGTGTAAATCAGGTCAGTCAGAAGAGAACCATGATGCTTGAAAATATTAAAACCAAACAACTAAAACATTTTCCTGGAAAGCAATAATTAAATAATTTTCTAGCTAAATAAAAATATATAGAAAATGGACTAGAAAACAGAGCCGAAATGAGAACAGTGCATTTACTATTTCGCCCCCTCAGTATTTGATATAATATTTAAATTAGTTGCAGGAGTTACATCTGAGTAAAATTCAGCTTAAGTAGCTTCCATGTGGCTTTGACTAATACCAAATATGATCTAGTGTGCCTCAGGATGATATACAGCATGTCAGACCAAGTCTCAGAGCTGAAAATGATTTTGTGTGCCTCATCCAACTCGAGTTCAACTTCAGGACTCATTGGTAGAGATGGTCAGGTTGATGCTACATCCAATTCATCTGACACTACATCCAAAGATTCTGATTTCACCTTTCCAGCTCCTGCTTCAACTCCAGTATCCTTCTCTTCCCTCAATTCTGGTGCTTTCCAGCTGATAGTTCAGGATCTTTCAGCAGCTGAAACCTCAGGTCAGTCTAGTTTCGTTAGAGTCTCCTGGTAGCACATAAAATTCTGTTGTTAATTCTCTTAGGTCTCACTGCCAGGATTGAGAGACTTCTAGTCCTTCCGTTCTTTCCATTTGAGTGTCAATATGTCCTTATGGCTCGTTAGATTCACTAGTTATATCCCAAAGCTAAGTGTCATTTTGTTTAAATAGGACGTGTTGAAAGAAACTGTATTATATATTTTCTTCTTCTCTTGATGGTTGCCTTGTGCAGGATTTGAAAACTGGGAAAGTGACCGGGAGGGGGCGTTCGATGACTTCTTCTGATGGAACTTGCTCATTCACATTGTTGTATCTATTTCCCTTCTAGCTAGATGTTAGTTCAACTGTGTGGGCATACTGGGATTTGTAGGTACTTGACCCAAAGTAGATGACTAACTTTGATTCTCATAAAATTGAGAAGGATAATATTAGTGACAGCTAACTTGTTCATTGTATTGTTGACACATCACTACAAGTTTTCAACACTAGTGGACCTCGAGTTGATACACTATTATCTGTGCAGCTCTTATCTTACTATTTTGATTGGAGTGGGTACACTGTTTCATATATTTTATTTTCTGACTAATTTCATAGTTTGATGAACTTGTCTTGTATTTTTTCAAATCTCATATTCTTTGTAGAATACTAGGGTCTCAGGTTTATTTAGTTTGACTATTACTGCAGATATAATATCTTATTTATGGGAAATATCTTGTTAAGATAGTTTTTCCTATTAATTTCTCTCCAGATCTTGATTTGAGAATCCTTTGAAATATGGCATCTGATATTGGCAAATCTTTTGTAAAGAATATTGAACTTATCAATAGTTCGGAAACAGATCAACTTTAGGCAAAACCTGTTTAGATTCTTTAGAATTTTCACGACGAGTTTGTCATTCTCTTTTTGCCCTTGCTATTGTTCTTATTAGAGTGACCTGTAGGGACAGTGACCTCTGCTTTTTTATCTTTTAAGGAACTTCCATTTCTGTGGTGGTTAATATTTTTGTTAGTCTCGACCATATATACATTGTTCAGGCCCGCAATGTTCCTTTAACCACCATCATTATTGAATGAATCAGGTAATCTGGTTCTATTATGGTATCTTGAATAAGAAATCTAACTCAGATATTGGTCCTCTAAGTACTATTAAATAAGGTTTTATCTCAGATCTGCTGTATTCTGGCTCAACTGATGTATTAGTAGTGCTTTATATATCCTATTTAGAATTTGGACGCAACAAATCTGTTGTGGGGTTACAGGTATCATTCTATTTTCTTGTGCTTCGGGCATAGTTATAAGAATATCAAGTCACAATTTTTTATAATATCTTTTTTATACTTCCTGATCAAAATTTTTGCATTCCCAATACTGTCCTCTAGCACTACATGACCCATCTTAAATTTGAGATTTGTTGTTCCCTTTTTCTGTAGCAGTTGCTTCGATGCAGTTACATTTTTTGTTTGTACTTTCAATCTTTGGGGATAAGGTGCAGGGATAGGACACTTGTTTCCATCAAGATTGACAATGTTGGGCTAATCAAGTTTCTCACCCCTTCTTAGATTCTTCCTCAGTCTCTTTTTCTGTAGGTTTAGAGACTTTCAATAAAATGGTTTTGTCAATTTCTTTTCCTGCATCTATGCCATATGCCCCTCCCGTCCAACAAAAACAAAAATTTTCAGGTTAGGGTCCGTCAACTAGTTCTCATTATCACAATCATGGATCCCAAGGGTTTTCGCAAAACCCGCCTCAGCATGGATTTGACCCTCACGGTCAAAAAAATGCATCTACATATCAACCCCCTCATAAGAGAAGTCTATAGGACACATTGCATCAATTTATACAAATTCAAACGACAATGAATAATCAAAATGCACAAGCATTTGGCAACATTAGAACTCAACTTACTAAGTTGACTAATTCATTGGGTGTGCTACAACAAGAAAATGGTAGGTTTCCAGCTCCAGGGGCAGTTGCATTTTTTGTTTATCTTTCATTTGTTCTTTTACTCATGAAAATAGTGTACTTAGCAGTTAGCCACACCTAAGAAGCTGAAAGTTTAAAAGACCTTTCCACATCAATCTTTTCAGGAAATTAATCTGATTTATATTTGTTTATATTGGTAAGGCGGCCTACTGGTTTAAATTTATAATCATCTTAAGATTAATACTGGGAAAAATGAATGAACATAGACATAAAGTCAGCAAGATGCCTGTCATTTGTCCCTCAAGGAGTTATGAGGTGAAGTTGGAGAAGTATAGGAAGAAGAAAAGTCATGAGACCACCTTCCCCAGGGTGGCCGGGCTCCCTTTGCCTAAAAAATTTGGACTGAGGAACCTTAAGTTTTCTGTCACTACCTACTGCAATCATTGAACAACATGCTTGATTGGCGTCATACCAGGTTTTTGTTCAGGATTATGTTCGCGGGTTCGAGTCACAGGAGCAGTCTCTCCGAACCTTGCAGCGGCATCAATCTCGTGCACTGAGCTAATTATGTTCCTTCTCCACCTTCAACAAAAATGATGCGAATTTACAATAGTAGTATTTGACTGAATTCAATACATCCCTGTGATGCATGGTTCAAGGTCGCGGTATCGGCCCTTGACTCGGGGACCACTGAGACACATTGGTCACGGCGTCGCGGCACTGTATCGGCCGATACTCTCAAAACACTATATAGAAGGCTCAAAAAATTTAGGAAAAATTAGAAAAAATTGTAATAAATGTAAATATCATTATGCATGCATCATATCCCCAAAAGACATTATTTAACACATTAATCATTACAAAAAAGAATAATAAGGGCGCTACCGGAAAATATTTTTCATCATCTATGTTCAATATTAATATAATTTAACTTGTAATTTTTAAAAATTGTAATATAAGTGTATATATATGGTTAACTTAATAGCTTTAAAAATGAAAATCTACTTATAAATAAATACTTCATTTAATTATTTAATGTATATCTAACTAGAAATTAATTTTTTTTTTTCATTATGTATATTTAATTATTAAATCTTCCATTACATATACAAAAGCAAATTTAATAAGTTAAGTTCTAATTATATTATATGGTAAATACTAAAAATTATATAATTAAAAAAATTGGACTAAAACAGTTTGAATTGTGGGACTATTGGGAACCAAAAGAGAAAAGAAAAAAAAAGGGGGAGACAACTATATTTTTGAGTTTCATTCCTTATAAGGCCAAATCTTCACATATTCTGCGCAACAACAAACTGAGAATATACGCGAGAGACAANGCAACTATATTTTTGAGTTTCATTCCTTATAAGGCCAAATCTTCACATATTCTGCGCAACAACAAACCGAGAACATACGCGAGAGACAAACTTAGACTCATTGATGAACCGAGAACATACGAGAGAGAGAGAGAGAGATGATTGGGGTCTGGGAGTCGATGTTGGTCGCTGAAGGCTTGTTGGGAGGGATCTGAGTCTCTGACTCATTTGCGATGCTAGGGATTCTGCGATGATGAAGACGAAGAAAGAGGGGGCTTCTGCGATGATGCTAGTGCTTTTTGTGTCTTCGATTTTAACAGGTATGCCTTGCAATTATTTCAATTTTTCTTCTATTTCTTAAGTCGCAAAAGAGGGTGAATTTGCTTGTGATTTTTTTTGACTTAANAGAGGGGGCTTCTGCGATGATGCTAGTGCTTTTTGTGTCTTCGATTTTAACAGGTATGCCTTGCAATTATTTCAATTTTCCTTCTATTTCTTAAGTCGCAAAAGAGGGTGAATTTGCTTGTGATTTTTTTTGACTTAGGGTTTGAAAAATGCCCATTTGAGTCTCAGATCTTTTTCTCCATTTCCTTTTTCCTTTACCATTTTGACTTTGGAGATTTTGCTGAAGTTTCTACGACTATCGGTCCGAGTCCGATGTAACTCGCCTGATTCAAACGATATGAGTCCAAGTTGAGCGGATACCATCGAGTTATAACCGATTCATTGCCGAGTCATGAATGACTCGTGATATTTATGTATCGTGTATCGATATCGGATTGGTCATGGCCGAGACGGATACGACTCGGCCGAGTCTTTGAACCCTACTGTGATGTTCTTGTGTTTCGTATTCTAGCATTGAATTTTGTATAATATATCTGTGCTGATGTTACATTGTGCTGAATATGAAGCATTGGAAAGTTAAATTTTGTTGATTTTCTGTTTTCCTTCATTATTGGTGGCAGAAACTGTAATTTTGCACTGTTTTCATTTTTCTATTCCTCTGATTTCTGCCCGCTGTAATAGCTCCGGCTAACGGGACACCTGCCAATGGCCTATTAGTTATGTCTACATAAAAATGGCCATCTCCTATATACTGTCTTATAGGTGCAGTTTATCGTTTTGCAAATAGGCATGAAGAGAAGCTCACCAATTTAGAGTCAGAGAACAAAGTTCTACGTCAGCAGGCTTTATCAATGGCTCAAAGTAATAAGTTACAATCAGGACGCTCAAAGTCAATTATTCAGGTACTCCTTGAAAAGAATGTTGTTCATATTGGACTGTAATGTTATTAGTTACTTACATGTTCTACGGTTTTATTGTCTTGTAATTTGCAGAGGGCTGAAAGCACAAAAAATGCTGTAGTAAGTCTAACTGCTTGCAAATTACAAAAAACATTCTTTAGTTTCTGCACAGTTTTAGAATTTTTTGATCAAATGAAAAATTGTTATAGGATCTGCATAGTGCTTCAATGAGCTCAAGGGATCACTTGGAGGTAGAAGAGAGACCACAAAAATCTCTTAATGAGAAACAGCAGGAGTATCAGGATTTGCTCATCCGATGCATTGCACAGCACCTAGGCTTCTCTAGGGGCAGACCGGTTGCTGTCTGCATCATATACAAATGCCTTAGGCAGTGGAGATCATTTGAAGTCGAGAGAACCAGCATTTTTGATCGCATAATACAAACTATAGGCCATGCTATTGAGGTATGAATTGTGGAGTTCGATGCTTATGGGGTGCAACTTATCTTCTGTTATTACTTTGAATGGCTTTTTAGAATTTTGAAATTCTTTTGTGATTTGAAGATCCAGGACAACAATGAAAACTTGGCCTATTGGCTGTCTAATGCATCAACTCTGCTGCTACTGCTGCAACGTACATTGAAAGCTGGTGGTGCTGCTGGAATGACTCCCCAACATCGACGTTCAACATCAGCTACTCTATTTGGCAGGATGACACAGGTAAAACAAATTTTCATTTTGAGTCTGAATTGTATGCTATTCATCATGCATCATAAAGGCTGCTATTTTTTTCTTCAGAGTTTTCGTGGTACCCCACAAGGTGCCGATCTTTCTTTTGTCAATGGTGAGTCTGCTGGTGGAGTAGATACCTTACGCCAAGTTGAAGCCAAATACCCCGCTTTGCTGTTCAAACAACAACTGACAGCATATGTGGAGAAAATATATGGGATGCTCCGTGACAATCTGAAAAAAGAGATATCTCCGCTTCTTGGGTTGTGCATTCAGGTACCTGGTACTGTTTTACGCAAATCAACTTTTTAAGGGAAAGACGTAGTCATATGTGAGGTACAGGTTTCTACTTTCCTATCCTAAACTACTTTAAATTTTATTATGTAAATGCAAATTAAATGGTGTAGGTGTTAGAGTTCTTATTTCTATGTTTTCTATTTATGTGGGGTAATATTGTAATTACATAAGATAGTGTTCAATATAAATAAGAGAGTGTAGGGTAACACTGTTCACACAACTGATTACTCTCTGTTGATGCTTTTTCTCCTCTCTTTCTCTTTTCNATATTGTAATTACATAAGATAGTGTTCAATATAAATAAGAGAGTGTAGGGTAACACTATTCACACAACTGATTACTCTCTGTTGATGCTTTTTCTCCTCTCTTTCTCTTTTCTCTCTCTCTCTCTCTCTCGTTTCTCTAACTCTAATATTCTATTTACTATTTCAATTTGGCATCAGAGCATTAATTTGTGAGAATATATCAAGAAATAAAAATCAAAGGATAGTAGGTCATCGGACACGTTAGTCAGAATATGATGTCAGCATGACATTAGCACTTTCTGATGCTGGCAACACACTACTTGACTCGGTTTTTTGTATTGAATATTCTGGTAATTCTTTTTTATTTTTTGAAGTCATCTGGATGGAGTTTTCTATTTTCGAATGATTTTTGTGAAAATAGAGTTTAATTTTTTATCTACTGATTTGGGGGTTTGTTCTTGAGATTTCCTACTTTGATCAGTCACAGACTGGTCCGAATAGGTGCTTGGAGAGTTGGTTTGACAAACCCAACCTTGCTGGTGTGTTTTTGGTGCATTTTTTGGGATGTGTTTGCCGACTGGACTATTCCGGCGACTCTTCGAGCGACGGATCTGGATCCTTTGATTTGCCTTGGTGTTTTCTTGATCTCCTGTAGCTCCCTTGGTTCTTCTTGTGAGCTGTTTGGTGTGTTTGGTGGATTTGTGCTTTAGCAGTAGTTTTTTTGTGCTTCGGCAGAAGCTGGCTGTGTATTTTGGGCTTCACCGTGTGCCCTGATTGGTTGTTTGTGTGTGGGTTGTGTTGTGTTGCTGATTGTTGCTTGTTTTATGTGTTGGGTTCCACTATAGGTTCCTCTTGCATTAGATTTGGGCTCCATTGGTGTTACTCCATTGATTTTGCAATGGATGTGGGTTGGTTTTGCATTGTGGTTGTCTTTTTTGTGTTAGATTTGACTGGTGTCGTTGCTTTCGGTGTTGGGTTGTTGTTCGAAGGCACTCTAATTCATCAGTCCTTGATTGTTTACTGGTTTGATGATTACTTTCTATATTAGTTTGTTTGGTTGCATCTCTAATTGTGGGTTTCTCAATGGTGACTTCGAATGGTTGTAATGGTGGTCATTCTGGCCGGGTCGTCACCTTAACTTGAAGTGTACTTATTGTGGTGGTACATGACACACTGAGAATTATTGTTGGGATAAGTATGAGAGACCAACATATACTCATCAAACTTCTAATGATACTTCTTCAGTGCATCAGACTTCTACCAATAGTCCAGTTTCTCCTACTATTGACTCTTGTGATGATTTTTCATCGCAGCTTCGTTAGCTCATCCAACAGATATTTTCACTTTCTACACAAATCTCTATTTCTACTACTGACCTTACTAATGGAGGTAAATTTGCATGAATAGTTGTTCAACCTTCTTCGTCATCTTGGAGCATTGATTCAGGAGCTAGTGCTCATATGTCTGGTAATTCTTCCCTATTTTCTAATTTTTGTTTGTGTAATGCACGTATTATGTTGGTTGATGGTTTGTTTCAGTCAGTACATGGGATTAACGATCTCCATTCTACTCAGTCCATGTCCTTAACATCTGCCTTGAGTGCTATTGTGTCTCCTCTTCAATGACACTTTTGACTAGGCCATCCCTCTTTGCAAAAGTTGCGTCAAGTTATCCCTAGTTTGACCTCTTCTTCTGTGTTAGAATGTGAAGCTTGTTAATTACGCAAATATCACCGTAGCTTTTTTCCTTCTAGTTCTTTCGGTCGATAGCCTAGTCCATTTCATATTGTTCATATAGACATTTGAGGTTCTGCTAGAGTCAAAAGTATTTCTGGTTTTCAATATTTTGTCATTTGGTGTTTCTGGTTTTCAATATCCCATGCANAAAAGTTGCGTCAAGTTATCCCTAGTTTGACCTCTTCTTCTGTGTTAGAATGTGAAGCTTGTTAATTACGCAAATATCACCGTAGCTTTTTTCCTTCTAGTTCTTTCGGTCGATAGCCTAGTCCATTTCATATTGTTCATATAGACATTTGAGGTTCTGCTAGAGTCAAAAGTATTTCTGGTTTTCAATAATTTGTCATTTGGTGTTTCTGGTATTTCTGGTTTTCAATATCCCATGCGGGGTCAGTTTTTCCTCTAACTGTAGCNTATCACCGTAGCTTTTTTCCTTCTAGTTCTTTCGGTCGATAGCCTAGTCCATTTCATATTGTTCATATAGACATTTGAGGTTCTGCTAGAGTCAAAAGTATTTCTGGTTTTCAATATTTTGTCATTTGGTGTTTCTGGTTTTCAATATCCCATGCAGGGTCAGTTTTTCCTCTAACTGTAGCTTGTGTAGAGGAAGAGTTTGATGTAACTATAGAACTAGTTGGGCTTGGAGTAGATTCATTTGGTGTCCCGGAAGATGACATTTTGCTAGAGCAAACATTCATTTGGTGTCCCGGAAGATGACATTTTGCTAGAGCAAACATTCATTTGGTGTCCCGGAAGATGACATTTTGCTAGAGCAAACATTCATTTGGTGTCCCGGAAGATGACATTTTGCTAGAGCAAACATTCATTTGGTGTCCCGGAAGATGACATTTTGCTAGAGCAAACATTCATTTGGTGTCCCGGAAGATGACATTTTGCTAGAGCAAACAAACTGAAAGCATAAAATCCACAATGACAACAAAAATTCTAATTCACAATTCTACAATCTCACTTCACAATCTTAATAGATCACAAATAGACAATAATATGACAATAGCATCAATAATAGATAATTTCAATTGCCCAATAGAACTAAGCAAGTCTTAAAAAAATACATTGATTTTGTGATGCTTAAAATCACCCAACAAAGTGCAGAAATGAAAAAAGACGTTGCTATGATTGAAGAGATGCATATACAATTAATTACCACTGCTTTTTTCTTTGCATTATGGAGATGGCACTCATTGAAATGGAACTTTGATTCTTCTTAGAATTAATATGGTTTGGAATGAAATAATGAGCATTGGATTTAACAAATACATGGCCAAACATTCCATTGACCTACCATTTTGTTTAATAACAAGTCTTGTTGAGTAATCAGGTGAGTGGTCGAATATGTAAAGGTCATGCCCATAGGGCCAGAAGCCATTAAAACATAGCTTAGTAGACAGGGTTCAAGGTATTGACCGAGTCCGATACGATAACGGTACACGTTACGCAAAAATCACGAGTCTCACCTGAATCGGTTGTGACTCGGTTATAATTTGGTTGATCGGCTTGACTCAGAGTAATATCGGCATGACTCGGAGTAGTATCGGCATAACTCGGACAGATATGATAAAATTCTTCCAAAATTGAAAGATAAAATGCAAAAAAAGATCAAAGTAGGCAAAATTGAAAGACAAAATGCAAGAAAAAACCAAAGTAGAGAAGAAAAAGGAATAAGAAATCAAGCTAAAAATGGGATTCAGATTTGCATAAGGCATACCTTAAAATTAGTTTTTGAGACTCAGATTTGTAGAAGAAAGGCATAACTGCTTTTAATTTTTCCATTCGCCTAACAATCAATTCTTCCCTTTCTTCTTCTTAGCAAAAATCCAGCATCATGATCGCAGATCAATTGCAGAAACTCTAGGTTGCTCGACCAGCATCATCGATCGTAATCGAACAACCCCTGACCAGCNCTTGACTCAGAGTAATATCGGCATGACTCGGAGTAGTATCGGCATAACTCGGACAGATATGATAAAATTCTTCCAAAATTGAAAGATAAAATGCAAAAAAAGATCAAAGTAGGCAAAATTGAAAGACAAAATGCAAGAAAAAACCAAAGTAGAGAAGAAAAAGGAATAAGAAATCAAGCTAAAAATGGGATTCAGATTTGCATAAGGCATACCTTAAAATTAGTTTTTGAGACTCAGATTTGCAGAAGAAAGGCATAACTGCTTTTAATTTTTCCATTCGCCTAACAATCAATTCTTCCCTTTCTTCTTCTTAGCAAAAACCCAGCATCATGATCGCAGATCAATTGCAGAAACTCTAGGTTGCTCGACCAGCATCATCGATCGTAATCGAACAACCCCTGACCAGCATCATTGATCGCAGTCGAACTCTCGAGACTCGACATGCATCATCGATCTCAGATCAATTTGGTCTCTTGCCTCTCGTCTGTCGTCTGTCGTCTGAGACTGAGAGTCTCGCTTCTCTCTCTCGTCTGAGAGTATCAAAACCCACGGCAAACCCAGTGACCCAGTCCTTTAAAGACTATTTGACTGTGGTTAATTTATTAACTTAAATATGATTAATTTAATTTACTTAGTATGAGTAATTTATTAAAATGTGGTTAATTTATTTTACTTTAGAGTGATTAATTTATTAACATAGTGTGGTTAATTTATTTTATTTATGGCTAATTGATTTTTGGGTTCCTTTTTTGCCTAGGTTTACTTAGATTAAATTTACTATTTAATAAATCATTAAAATATTTAATGTAATAGTTAGATATTTAGATTATTTATTTTTTAAATAAATATTTTAAGTATTCTATTTTAAATCAAATGCTAAATTATTAACCTTATGGTGGAAATTATCCCAATTTGTATTATCCTAGAGACAATAATAATGATAATATTTCTTAAGNAGGTTTACTTAGATTAAATTTACTATTTAATAAATCATTAAAATATTTAATGTAATATTTAGATATTTAGATTATTTATTTTTTAAATAAATATTTTAAGTATTCTATTTTAAATCAAATGCTAAATTATTAATCTTATGGTGGAAATTATCCCAATTTGTATTATCTTAGAGACAATAATAATGATAATATTTCTTAATTGCTTACCTTAAACATTCATAATGATAATTATTTTCGGTAGCGTGCTTATGTTTCATTTTAATTATTTTTAATATGTTTTTTGATATATTATAGACATATGATGCATGAATGATGATGTTTCTATTTTTTTAGAATTTTTTATATTTTTTTAAAAAATTTTGGGAGCTTCTATCTAGCATTTTGAGCGTATCGGTCGANTTGATATATTATAGACATATGATGCATGAATGATGATGTTTCTATTTTTTTAGAATTTTTCATATTTTTTTAAAAAAATTTTGGAGCTTCTATCTAGCATTTTGAGCGTATCGGTCGATATCGCACTGCGACGCCGCGATCGATGTGTATCAGTGCTCTCTGAGTCGATGGCCGATACCACAACTTTGAACCATGTTAGTAGATGCTAATCAAATAATTGTACATAAAAAATGAGCAATCAAGATCAAAGCAAGTTATCTTCAACATTTAGTTTTATTAAATCGTGTGACAAGAAAATATTCAAACTAATGAAATCAAAACCAAGAGTCAAGAGTCAAAACCAATGAAATCCAGTCTGATAGAAGCACTAACCATTTTTGTTTACAATCATATATGCAGCACCGACCATTTAATTTTTACTCAAAACCAATGAAATCAACTACCCAACTTGAAACAGTGGATTTTAGTTTTGGTTACTGAGATATGAACTAATGAAAGGAAGTTTTTACCTTTTTTATCTTAATTTACAGTCTGATAGAAGCAATAAGCATTGATTGCAGCCGCTGGAGTTCCTCGTCGGTCGCCTGAGTTTGCTGATCGCAATCGCCTGATGTCGCTGGTCGCTGATCACAGTTGAAGATCCCTAGAGCCTGGTTGCTGGAGCAGTGGCTGATCGTAGTCAAAGACTCCCTAGTCGCTAGAGCCTGATGGTGATGGTGCTGTGATTTATNATTTTTGTTTACAATCATATATGCAGCACCGACCATTTAATTTTTACTCAAAACCAATGAAATCAACTACCCAACTTGAAACAGTGGATTTTAGTTTTGGTTACTGAGATATGAACTAATGAAAGGAAGTTTTTACCTTTTTTATCTTAATTTACAGTCTGATAGAAGCAATAAGCATTGATTGCAGCCGCTGGAGTTCCTCGTCGGTCGCCTGAGTTTGCTGATCGCAATCGCCTGATGTCGCTGGTCGCTGATCACAATTGAAGATCCCTAGAGCCTGGTTGCTGGAGCAGTGGCTGATCGTAGTCAAAGACTCCCTAGTCGCTAGAGCCTGATGGTGATGGTGTTGTGATTTACTGATTTAGGGCAAAAAAAAGCCCCAAATACCAAAAATATTGATTTAATTTATTTAAATTGTTTAATTTTTAAATGGGCATTAAACCGTCTGGTTTTTATAAAACCACTGGATCACGGTTTTTGTTAAAAACCGGCCGATTTTTCTGTTTTTAGCCGGTTCGCTTCTTTAAGCGGTTCAACTAAGGAACCAGACCGGTTAGGGTCCCTGTTCACGGTTGAACCAGTCTGACCGGCCGGTCCGGTCCAGTTCTGATAACACTGTTTAAAATAGAGAACGTTGTTGGAATGAACTAGGTAGAATGAACTAATACAAGTGACTCTTTAAAATAGAGAGTGTAATATAAAAATATATTTTGACTAGTTATTTTAACTAGCATCCTTGGAGTTGTTCTTAGAGTTTTTATTTCGATTATAGCTTGTCGTGATTGGCCCTTGTACCAACTGGACATAAAGAATGCCTTTTTACATGGAGATTTACAAGAGGGATACATAGTTCAACCCCAGTTTATGTTATATTTGGTAAGGAATAATTAGTTTGTCGCTTGAAAAAAACACTATATGGTTTAAAACAGTTACCACGTGCTTGGTTTGATAAGTTTAGTATTGTGGTCCTTTAGTATGATTTTCAACACTGTATTTCAGATCATTCAGTTTTTATTCATCGTTCTATCCGAGGGGTTATCATTCTTATTGTATATGTTTATGACATTATTATTAGTGATGATGATTCTGATGGTACTGCCATTTTTAAGCTCTATTTGGGGAAGTTGTTTCACACTAAAATTTGAGTTTTCTTCGGTACTTCCTTGGGATTAAGGTTGCTCGGTCAAAGGAAGGTATCAATTTTTGGCAACGAAAGTATGTTTTGGATTTGCTATATGAAACTGGTACTCTTGGTGCTCATCCTGTTGATACCCCGATGGATTCTACAGTCAAGTTAGATGGTGAGAGTGGAGAAGTTTTTGATAACATAGTGCGTTATCAAAGGTTTGTTGGTAAGCTAATATACGTCCAGATATTACTTTTGTAGATGGTGTTGTTAGTCCGTTTATGCATGCTTCTCGCAAACGTCATTGGGATAGTGTTTGTCGTATCCTTCTGTATCTTAAAGGTGCACTTGGGAAATAATTATTATATCGGTCTTTACCATGTGTGACTATTACTGGATTTTCTGATACTGACTGGGTNTTTGTCGTATCCTTCTGTATCTTAAAGGTGCACTTGGGAAATAATTATTATATCGGTTTTTACCATGTGTGACTATTACTGGATTTTCTGATACTGACTGGGTAGATAGTGGTACTGATAGACGATCTACTTTTGGTTAGTGCACGTTTGTTGGTGGTAACCTTGTTACTTGGCGTAGTAAAAAACAAAATGTAGTTGCACGTTCAAGTGCATAGGAGTATCGGGCTATGGCTCACACGGCGTGTGAAATGTGTGTGTTCTCTACTTCGTGATATAGGGATTAGTGTGCCTTCTCCTTTGTCATTGTGATAATCAGGCTGCTATTGTCATTGTCAGTAATCTAGTATTTCATGAGCGCACGAAACACATAGAAGTGGATTGTTATTTTATTCAAGATCTCCTAATATAAAAGGAGATTATTACTCCATATGCTAAGTTTGGTGATCAGTTAGGTGATATTTTTACCAAACCATTGTCTTGTGGTATCTTCAATAATCTTTGTTCCAAGTTAAGCATTTTTTATCTTTATGCTCCAGCTTGAGGGGGAGTGTTAGAGTTCTTATTTCTATGTTTTCTATTTATGTAGGATAATATTGTAATTAAGAGAACATAAATAAGAGAATGTTGGGCAACACTGCTCACACAACTGATTACTTTCTCCGGCTGCTTCTTCTCCTCTCTGTCTTTTCTCTCTCATTTGTCTAACTCTAATATTCTATTTATTATTTCAACTGTAGGCACCAAGAATTTCAAGAGCTAGCTTAGCTAAGGGGATAGCACGTACATTGGCAAATGCTGCTGCTCAGGAGATTCTCATTGCTCATTGGCAAGGTATCGTGAAGAGTCTTGGAAATTTCCTGAGCACGCTGAAAACAAATCATGTAAGTGAAATGTCTATGATATAGTAGTTTCTCCAGTATTGTTTTAAATTTTCCTTTGCATGGTTTATGGCTTGATGTTCTTTTCTGGACATAGTTGGTCACCTTTGAATATGTCGCCAACCTTATTTTTCCCTTTTTCTAACTTTGCATATCGTAATGCTATGAGCATAAGTTAATGAACACAACTTTCTGGAAGCTACATGACAAAATTTTCAAGCTGTCAACAAAATCTGGCAATGTTTGTCAGTGGCGTCAAGAACCAGTATAGAATTATTACATTATTATGCCGTTTTATCAACTTTTTTTATGATTTAAATAGTTAACGTAGTACTAGTTCCTGGAATTGAATCTTTTGCATTATAATATTACAGTCAGTGAAATAATAATCTCTAAAATTGCAAGTTTAATGCAGTTTTCTGATCATCATCTTTTGAAATGTTCATTTTTCTTGTTATTATTTTCCCCCATTGTGCTAATTATCCCTCTATGCTTCGTTGGTTCACCTTAAGTGGTGACAACTTGTGTTAGAGATGTCTAAACTGAATTTAGGAATAATAATCTGAATTCTAAGTAAAATGCCAGCTTCAAACTGGTTTGCAAACTCAACTGTAAATATCAGTTTGATTTGTTGCTGAGCACCAGAGGACTAAAACTCCCCCAGTAAATTTGATAGTCCAACAACCAGATACATTTGGCCTAGAAGGCCAACATATATCATAGATTTGTAATTTCCCCAAAAATTGCGATAGCTGTTACAATGGTGGGAGTTAATGAGATAGTAGTTAACATACTTGTAAACCTACAGAAGTGTTCCTATATTTTCATGGTTAGTCAAAATTTCGCGGCCACTTGGGGCCCTAATTCTCATTTTGAACTGTGTTGAAGAAAAATTAGCTTTTGTTGTATGAGTGAACTGCCAATCCGACAACAATTGAAACATTCTCCTATTTTTCATAAAATAAAAATCTTTTCCCAACTTGTCAATGGACTAAATAACTTCCAATACTATACCAATTGAGTTTTTAGAATTGTAGAGATGATGTATTTCTGCTGGATTTTCTAATTGACTGTTTTTTTTTTTAACACAAATTGACTCTCGATTTTTACCTAATACTTTGAATATAAGTTGATGAATACAGTTACTTATCGTTTCCATCCTAGATATTCCCAAGTTTCAAACATAGTGGGCAATTCCTAGATATGTCGTTAGGTGTTTGTTGTATAATGTGATCCTTTTTGGTTGTACGTTTGTAGCATAATGTCTTCCTTTTTCTTTTTTCTGTTTTTTTTTTTTTTTGGTGATGCATTTAACTTGATATACTTCAACCTTGTATCTTCTTTTTTCAGGTTCCCCCATTTTTGATTCGCAAAGAATTCACACAAATATTTTCTTTCATCAATGTGCAATTATTCAACAGGTTTGTGCGCATATGTGTATACACTCTCTGTATTAAAGTTGTTTCCTTTGATATTTGCACCTCTTGGTTGCAGCCTTCTACTAAGACGAGAATGCTGCTCATTTAGTAACGGCGAATATGTCAAAGCAGGATTAGCTGAATTGGAACATTGGTGCTACAAGGCAACTGATGAGGTAACCTTGTTTTGATTCTGGTTGACCCAGTAATTCTCTATGCAGTTCATGACTAAAGAAAGAAAACAAATTCAGTATGCAGGTTCAGCTTGGGATGAGCTCAAGCATATAAGACAGGCTATTGGGTTTCTGGTATTGCATCCATTTTCTGTTCAATGCCTAAAAAGATTCCAACTCCTTGTCCCCTTAATTATGTTTTGTTTATTTTTTCCGAGTTTTCTTCTTTAATGGAGGCATATTTCTGTGGAAAGAAGTTGAACCATAAAGGTACATAAAACCCAATAATGGTTATGTTATTGGCGTTCCAAAATTAGTTTATGCAATTCCATCTTTTTTGGCAATTGGAAGCAATCGAGCCTTCCACCGTTATAAGGCTTTCCATCAAACACAAATGGAACCACATATCTGACGGCAAAATTTCATGGGCATGGAACTGTAATGGTAATCAAAGCCTTCAGCGAAACCCCCACTTGTTTGCCAGTGAGATGGCAAATTCTTTTATTGTGTTTGATGACTCCGTGTGCTCCCGACTCCTGTATATAAAGTATGAAACATCACCATTAAACTTAAATTAGTATATGGTTCTTGCATTCATCTCTTTAATTAGCTCTGTTTCCTAGAAAATATCCATTGTAAAAAGATGTTGCCGCATCAATAGCTTTTTCTACTTGGTGTGATATTTTTCATCAGATGAAATATATCACTAACAATTCTGGAAAGAGAGGGCAATTTTTTGGGTTTCACTGTGTTAAAATTAAATGGTGTGGTTCCAAAAGCTACTCTTGGAGTGTGAAACCACCCAAAATATTTGAAAAGTATATGTATTTGCTGGGTGATTGAAGTGTATATCAGAATTAACCAAAGAAACTGAAGCAAACATCCACAAGAAATTGGAAAACTGGATTCTATTTGTCCAGATGTCAGCTATCTGTAAATGCAGTTCTAATCTCTTACGTTCCTGATTTAGGTCATACATCAAAAGCCGAAGAAGACACTGGATGAAATAAGTCATGACCTGTGCCCAGTAAGTACTGCCTTTGCAGTGCCTACAAAAAACCAATTAATCAACCTACACTTCTTCCAGAATGTTTAAATTGTTAATCATGCACAGGTGTTAAGCATTCAACAGCTCTACAGAATCAGCACAATGTACTGGGATGACAAGTATGGCACACATAGCCTTTCCCCTGATGTAAGTTTCAATCGAAGTCTCCTAAGCAGGTTATAGTTTCATTGTTTGTAATGTTCCCACAACGTTCTAATATAAGGCATCTAATGTATCAGCTGCATTAAGTATTGCTGCTGGTAGATTAGAGAGTAAGCCTTGAAATCATTTGATATAAATGGTGCATAGGTTGGTGACAATTTTGTAAGCAATGTGTAAGTTCAATAACAAAGTCGATGACTATGTTCTTCTTTTTCTTCCTTTTGTAATTTTCTCAGGGTGATTTTACATTTAGAGCGGTGGTTAATTGGAATTAGATAGACTAAGTCGACGATAAAGTTCCTAGGATGAAATTTTCTTATAGGAAGGTGGATTATAAGGACCTTGTACTAGAATTAAATAAGGATAATATCATCTTAAGAGTTATCTTAAGATGAATAAAATGATTGTAGAAACTTCGAAACATTGTTGAAAGATTGATCATGAAGTTTGAGTTTCGCGCGTATTGACTTTTGTGATGGTGGGTCTGCAAATTTACAGGTTATATCCAACATGAGAGTGTTAATGGCTGAAGATTCAAATAATGCTGTCAGCAGTTCATTCCTTCTGGATGATGATTCGAGGTTAAAGACGAGATTCTATGACCTGATTGGCTAATTTTGCTGTCCTGTGTTTGTTTCTCTATTTTGTGCCATTGTTTGCCCCTTGGCTAGATCTCTTGTATTTTATTGGCCGCTGACTTTCCTATCTCTTGTGGTTTAGCATCCCATTCTCAGTTGATGACCTATCCAAATCAATGGATCACATCGATATTTCAGACATTGAGCCGCCACCTCTTATTCGGGAAAATTCTGGCTTTAGTTTCTTACTGCCGCGTGCTGAATAGTACTTGCTTGTCATGGATTTGTCTAATTACTTGCAAAAACATTCTCCTCAATTTGAAGATGACCCATAAGGTAGGTCATTGATCTAAATTATGTTATGCGACTATCTTTCTAGCTGTAGCAGAACTATTTCGAATGGGATTCTATTTAGAAGTTGTAGCTGAACTCATTTCTATTTTGTTCGTCTGCACTTGTTTCAGCATCAGTTTACACCGATCAACAGCTGTTTCTAGCGTTTTTGAACTTGCAGTTGCTGTGTGCGCTGCAATCTTCGAAAGAAACTGCCTTTTCCCTACAGCAGAAACATCAGAACTTTCCAATTTGCTATACAATCCCTTACTTTTTAATTGGTGAAAGACATCCTAGGAAAATTGTTGTTTTAATTTTATTGGGTATCTGGTAATCATGTATGTAGGGGTAATTAAATATAAAATATATTATTTTCAAGGCTGCAGAAGCTTTAAACTAATCTTAAGGAAATGTTCACCATGTACTTGTTAATCAGATACATGGTGGTGAACAATATGGCATGCTGGTAGGGTTTAAACGTACATCTACAACTTTGTTGTTTCAATGAACAATGTTGCATAAGTTTACAGATTAATTCTAACCATCAGATTACTGCATGAGAAACACTAATTAGGAATGCCAATAGATTTTGTCATGTTGGTTTTACGTGTCAATTTTTTTTTTTTTGGCTAATTATATTTGTATTTTTAATCAAATCCGTATCATATATAGGTACTAAAGTTTATCAGCTAAATCTTTTTAGGTAAACTACAAAATAAGAAGTGAGAATAATATTATTGGCAACTAAAAATCTAAATTAATAGGCTGACCCAATGACCTTGTACATGATGTGATACCAAAATTGGTCAATAACTATAATTAGAGGACAATGCTATAGAGATATAATTTGAATACTTAATTAAGGATTTAATTTAATATAACTATTGAATTAGTTATAAATTCTAATATTAAATGTAATAGTTACGTTGAATTAAATTTGTAAATTAAATGGAATTATTATTAAATTTGTAAATTAAATCTAAGTGGAATTACAAGCCACACCTACGACATACCCTCGGAGATTTTTTTTAAGAGAATTATTATTTAGATNCCGTATCATATATAGGTACTAAAGTTTATCAGCTAAATCTTTTTAGGTAAACTACAAAATAAGAAGTGAGAATAATATTATTGGCAACTAAAAATCTAAATTAATAGGCTGACCCAATGACCTTGTACATGATGTGATACCAAAATTGGTCAATAACTATAATTAGAGGACAATGCTATAGAGATATAATTTGAATACTTAATTAAGGATTTAATTTAATATAACTATTGAATTAGTTATAAATTCTAATATTAAATGTAATAGTTACGTTGAATTAAATTTGTAAATTAAATGGAATTATTATTAAATTTGTAAATTAAATCTAAGTGGAATTCCAAGCCACACCTACGACATACCCTCGGAGATTTTTTTTAAGAAAATTATTATTTAGACTTAAAAATTTGACTTAATTTATTGACTTAATAATGTAATTTTATTATAACCATTAAATTAACAGTAAATTCTAATATTTGATAAAACTTACAATTAATCTAATAAATATAAAAATTAGGTCTAAATAACGTTGCTCATTTTTCAAGGGGTTTAAAACACCACCAATAAAAATGGATAAATTACATCCGAATTTTTTGAAATTTGTCACTTAATCACATAAACACATTCACGTGTGAAATATTACACTTAGAGCCCTTATGGGTGGAGATCAAATAACGGAGCCAATGAAAATGATTAAAAGACCAAAATGTCTCCCAAAATACAAGATATTTTCTTAATTTAAGTTGTAGTTACCAAAATTTCCCTCTCACAATTGCCTCTTGTCTCGGACTTGAAACAACATTAATTAGGGTTTATTGTGTGATTTTGAGACTACGGGAGGCAGATGTTGGTGTGGTTTTGTGCAGCGGTGGAGGCGGATGGGTGGTGTTGTGTGTAGCGATGAAGGTGGAGGGGTGGTGTTGTGTGCATCTGTTGAGGTGGATGGTTGTGTGGTTTGTGACAGTGGGTAGTGTGTGCTAAGAAAGAATATGATATTTAATTTTTGGATTTTTAAAGAGATTAAATAGTTTTTGGGTTTTTTATTTTTTATTTTTGAGTGAGATATGGGTAGTTTGGGAATTTTACGAAGAAGATATGTTGATCAGTAATGCTAGATTGACCAAATTTTTGGACCAAATTTGGAACCCAAATGACATAGCAGTTGATTTGAATTTCTTTGATTGATGTTATGTCATTTGGGTCCCAATAAAAACTTCAAATAATCAAATGTCATGTCATTTGGGCTCTAAATTTAGTCCCAAAATTTGGTCAATGTAGCATTACTCTATGTTGACATGATAAGGGTTCGACGGAATGACGAATGAACATTAATGAATTGGGGTTATGTGTTAAATAGGACCAAACCTTGAGGGATTGTGATATTATTTTTCATACTTAAGTGAATCTATGTGATTAAGTGATAAATTTTAAGAGATTTGAGTGTAATTTATCCATAAAAATTGTGCATGTCCAATGAATAGCTGTTACTAATCACCTCGTCAAAATTGTTTTTAAAAAAACTAAACTCCCGTGTTCCATAAGTTATTTTTATGGCGAGTAATTTTATTTGGATTTAAAAGTTTGACTTCATTTGTTGAGTTAATTCATTATAATCTTTGAATTGACTATGAACCTCATCAAATACTAAAATTTATTCTATTAATATCACATCCTTGTATTAACGAGTGAGATCAAATTTTTAGGTTTAAATGTGTACACGGTGCCACACGGTTAGAGATGACAGTGGACCGAANACGTCAAACTTAATTCTATTTTTGAATACATAGACAGTCCAACATATACACGGGGCACAGTCGCACCCCTAAATAAATTCTAAAACCTCAATAATTACGGTTGACTTGATTCCTTTTCAAATACATACATAGTCTAGTTCAGATAAGTGTAGTCACAACTCTCCCACAATCAAGTGGATCTTAAATCCGTACCAAATTCACATTTTTATTCTCCTATTTCAAACATAATGAACATTTTATCCATTCAATATCAATGAATCATCTACCCGTTGATCTTACCCCAAAAATAATTTAACCTCTCCGAACTATGAATCGAGTTGATCCTGTTAATGGGTATCTCACCAACCTCTGTCTAGCTGCCACTACAAATAAAATACACTTATGGGGTAAATAATAATGAGTGGTAATTCTTCGTTGGAATGAAAATATGTTTTCTTAAAACAATCTAGAATGGGTTTAACCTATATTAATAAAACTCGTATAATTTCTCGTTATATGAGTGAAATCATGTTCGACAAAATATTCAAAATTTTTTCCAACATTAGGGATGACAGTGGACCAAAACGGGGGTAGGGGGTCTAGTTTTTATTCTCGTACCCGCTTAAAAAAATTTTGTTTATCTCCGGTCCACCCCCGCTAAAGGGTATAACTTTCATCCCCCACCCCCTCCTCGGGTAAATTTGTAATCCCCACCTCCTCCCCGTCCCTGCCTTCACCTCCGCCCCCATCCCCACCCCTACCCCCACCCATCTTACCCGCCCAAGCTCAAGCTAACATAATCTAAAATTTTAAATAAATCTAACATTTTAAATAAGCCAACATAATTATAAAATATCATAATCCAACATAATTAAAATTTTGTCTACAATATAATCCAACATAATATAACTAAAAGTTTGTCTTCCTTGTAAATCTAACACAATATCATGTAACACAATATAATGTAACATAACATAATCCAATATAAAAAAATATAAAAACACAGAGATGTACACTTTTACAAACCAAAATCATAAAAAAAAAATAAAAAAAAAATTTATTGATTTATATCGATATTATACGGATATCCCTGTCTTTATTTTTATATCGATATTATACGGATATCCCTGTCTTTATTTTTATATTGATTTATACGGATATTCTTATATATATCTACCGTTCAATACGTATGATCTATTCTGAATTCTAACAAAATAAAATTAGACGAATACCTATTTTTTCCCGATCCGCTGCCATCCCGCACGCACGGTGGTTTAAACTTTAAACTGATACAATTGGCAAAAGTTACTTAAGACGCGTAATGACGTCAAAGAGTGTTGAACATCCACTAGATCCCACCCAAATATGGCAAAAAGGAACCGCACTGGATGGCCAAGTTTGTACATTCATTTGCTAAGTAATCTCTACTTATGGTAACAGACATCTGATCAGGTGAATATTTACTTGTACACTCACTGAAATTTGACTATACTATTCACCACAAATCTATCCTTGATAGTGCACTTCCATAGTTCCTCTTAAAAACCCCAACCCCGTACCACCAACATTACTATGGTTTTCAGATAATTTGAACTCTCTATCTGTTTGTGTTTCTCCTTAGGAGAGGTTTCTTTTATTTCGTTGATCTGGGTTGGTTGTTAGTTCTTGGTGTTTGGATCTTGTTTGAAGAACAAGAGTCTATGGAGAAAGTGAACTTGAACAGGGACAAGTTCAAAGATACATGGGACAGTACCAACTACAGCTTTGAAAGAGATCGTACATATGGGTTTTCATGGCCTCAAAGAAACTACAAATGCAGCTTTTGCAAGAAAGAGTTCAAGTCTGCTCAGGCTCTTGGGGGTCACATGAACATTCATAGGAGAGATAGGGCCAGGTTGAGACAGTCACCTTCATGGGATTGTCCTAATAATCCTAACCCTAGCCCTAACCCTAGCCCCAGCCCCAACCCTAATTTTTCATCATCTTCTCATGCAGCTAGGTTCTTGCCATACATGGCTTACAGTTCCTCTCTTACACCATCTCTGACTTCTTTCTCTTCGCCATCCTTGGCCTCGATGGACGAAGAAAAGATGCCGCTCATTGCAGTTTCTCAGCATCATCCCATAAGGCCTCACGACAAAAATATTAACAAAAAGCCAAGCAAGGGAGCTTTTGCTGGGGTTGGAGAGTTGACAGGGTTTTCAGAAGAAAATGATTATAGGGTTTGGAAGAAAAGAGAAATTGTTAGCTTGGACTTGGAGATGGGTTTGCTCCCTAATGGAAAGGAGGATTTGGATTTGGAACTTCGACTAGGGAACTCTTAGATGATATCTTCAGCTATGGCTGTATGAATCAATCTATTTTTAGCTATATATTCAGATTTAGGTTTTAATTTTAGGACACTCTGATTCATGTAAGCTGTCTGTAATTTATTTTCTTGCACTTTCCTGATCCGTTTGGCAGTGAAGAAAGTGCAAGAAAGAAAATTTGAAAACTCCCACCCCCAAGTCTTCTTTGTGTTTTCTCTTCTTTCTGGTTAGAGAATTCAGAATGCTTCGAGATGGTTTCAGTGTTTCAGTCCTAAAGTGAATGCATGAGATTACTTCATTACTCTGTGATTACACTGCATTCGCCTTCCATCTTTTTTCCCTTTCGTTTCTTGTCAGTGATCTCCTATTTGGCGTAATCTAATAGGAGGACTCTGTCCATGGACGATTTTTTCTTGCTTTTAATGATGAATTGTCTCAGTACTTAAATGGCTTACTTGATGATAGTGTACNTTCGTTTCTTGTCAGTGATCTCCTATTTGGCGTAATCTAATAGGAGGACTCTGTCCACGGACGATTTTTTCTTGCTTTTAATGATGAATTGTCTCAGTACTTAAATGGCTTACTTGATGATAGTGTAGTTGGAGTGATCCTTTCTGAGGTTAAATGCAACATAATTTGGAAGATCAGGTATAATCTGTCTCAAAAACAAAAATCCTTGTGTGAATCTTTTATATTTCGGCCTACATTAAGTTCGTATACCAACGAAAATCCGATTTCGGTGGCATGTTAAAGGGTGATTGTGCCATTTTTGAGGAGTGTTATCAGATTAAATTCAAGCAAAACAAACAGTAAAACAGTCATGTTCTCCATATCGGTTTAATTCTCATAGTCAATATAAACAAATATTGTGAGTATAAGCTCATGACAATTTAATTGATAACGTGGTAAATTATACAAAAGGAGAAAAATATTGGACAAGAATGACATCCTAACTTCTTTTTTTTATTGCATGTAGAGGAGCAACCGCTACCCTTAATGGTGATTATAAATTATAGGGATACCTCTGTACCTGGAATTCTCACACTTCAATCATGAAAAACTGAAGATCAGAATTGAATGTCTCTCTGCCCATTCAATTTCATTCAAGAAAAAGAGCAAGAAATAGTTATTTATGGGATGTCATGAGGGATATTTTAAGGAAAGGATTTGACCAGGGTACTAAAATTTTGAATTTTTTTTAATGCTATACTTCATTTATTATATTTGTGATTACTTTTATTATTGTGGTTTCTTTTATCACGGTTGTGGAACTCTAAAAAAGGGACAAAAATAGTTATCACAACAGTGGTAAAAATATATCTATAAATGTGATAAAAATATCCACAAATATAATAAAAACACTTACAATTGTAGTAAATTGTTTTTATAACAAAAAAATGATAAAAATACTTATAAAGTGATAAATCATCCACAAAAATAATAAAATTTTTAATTATAAAATGACCTATAAAAATAATGAAAACACTCTTTAAAATGATAAAAGTTAAAAATTCGGTATTGAAATTATTTTTTAAGTAATTTAGTCAAATCCGAAAAGAAAAATCTATTATCAGCTGATAGCTGTCCAAAGATCCAATTGGCAAGAGAGAGGGGGGAGAACTAGGCTGCTTTCTTTCTGATACTCGTACTCGTTACATTGTCAAATGATTCGAATAGTATTTTGGTCTATGCATATTGGATGTTGTGTTTTACAACATCTGTTCCTTTGTATGTTCCCAACAAATGTTTCGGTGTCAGTGGCATGATGCCTTTCCCTAAGTGGAACTGATATTGGGCAAGTCCAAAACCAAAACGAGAGGGCTTATACCCCCCCCCCCCCTTCTGTCTCTCATTTTTTTATCATTTTACGACTACTTTAAAACAATAATACTATACTGATCAAATTAAAACTTATGCCTTGAGTGATTTCTAGCTTATCTCCCAATTTTCTGTAGTTTGGATGAAAGTTTGGTTTTAATACACACTTTTTAATATAAAAACCTATTTTTAAAATGTGTTTTTAAGAAATATATTAAAAAAACATACAAACACATTTGTATATTGAAGAGCATACAAGCAAGATGACAGATTGAAAAATAAGTTAAAAACGTGACATTTGGGCAAAAAAATTTGAAAATCATGGTATGATTATTCTCTCTCTCTCACACACACATTCTCTCACATGTATACACGCACTATCATACTTTTACACTAGTATTAGTGAGGTCCCCATCACAGGTGAAGATTAAAAGGCCAAAGGGATACATTTTTGGGGTGGATGAGAACCTGCCAAAGTGCATGTTTTAGTGAAAGAGAAGAGGGTATGGGTTAAAGGATGTCAGTGGAGAAACGTCATCACCATCATGGCTTCATGTTATCATTCACTCTACATTGCTTTCAGCTATTTACTTGGCCAATTGAATGGTCATAGAATTCAGGTGACAAATATTAAGCCACATAACTTGAGCCTTTCTTTTTTTTTTTTCATGGGGCGGGCTGTTGATTGTTCAACAGTTCGGGCCAACCCGTAAAAATCCACCATCCACGGTCTGTCTATGGGGTAGAGACAGACCCAATAATAATGTCCATGATCCTTAACCTCCATGATTTTATGGACTGCCCATAGATCATGAATTGTTTATAGGGTTGGCCCATGATCATTTGGGCCACCAAATCTATCTAGTTAGACTGCAGTCCATGGGCCTTTTGTCAGCCCTTAAGGTAGCCCATTTGATTGTCCCTTTGCCCCATGTCTTGACATGAGATCTACCCGATTGGAATACATGGCCTTTGCTCATATTAATAAGAGGAAGAAAACAATCTTGGTCCATGTGAGAGAATGCTTGTTTTTTTTTTTGTTTAACGGTCAGGGTGTTTGGGTTAACCAAGACTAAGATATTTATGAGAAATAAATATCCCATAACTTGAATCCAAAAAAATTGTAAAAATTCAAACTCAGAACGTCTGAATTTACAGCTCGTCTTTGTTATTACTTAAACTATCTATATTTTTCTTTAAGCTGGTATCTAATTCAAGTTTCCATGACCATACATCTGGACATAAAATCCACCTAGGNGGGCCTTTTGTCAGCCCTTAAGGTAGCCCATTTGATTGTCCCTTTGCCCCATGTCTTGACATGAGATCTACCCGATTGGAATACATGGCCTTTGCTCATATCAATAAGAGGAAGAAAACAATCTTGGTCCATGTGAGAGAATGCTTGTTTTTTTTTTTTGTTTAACGGTCAGGGTGTTTGGATTAACCAAGACTAAGATATTTATGAGAAATAAATCTCTCATAACTTGAATCCAAAAAAATTGTAAAAATTCAAACTTAAAACGTCTGAATTTATAATTTGTCTTTGTTATTACTTAAACTCTCTATATTCTTCTTTAAGCTGGTATCTAATTCAAGTTTCCATGACCATACATCTGGTCATAAAATCCACCTAGGTCAACTTGACCAGCCGGCCGACCGTCTCGATTCCTATTGTTTTGGGGGATTGGAGGGGGGGGTTATCTTTTTGGCAATCCCTTGGCATAAAAAGAGAAGAATTAATCATAAATCTTTTAAGCTAGACCTAAAACCATTTTGATTATCGAATGCAACAAAAGGCTAACAAAAAAGTTTCATGCATTAATATAATAGGGTACTGATCAAAGTAAAAGCCATATGATTTGGTATAGAAAATGCAGTAGTTGTTGAAGCACTCACGTTGTTATCGTCCATTCTTAATCTTCTTGATGTCCATAACCAAGAGGCCAATCTACCGGTCTTATATTCATTTCTGACCTCATGTAGGACTTTGTCAAAGATCAATTCAACCCTAAAAATTATTTCTTTCAACGTAGAACCTTTAAAAACGCGTATACCTCCAGACAAAACCATGCGATAATGAATTACATTAAGATAATACTATGTTGATCTTGTCTTCTCATTCTTTTCAACTGCTTTGAGCCATTTTTGTCGGCCCCCACTGTTTTCCAATAAGGAATTGTCAGGTAATTAATGGGTTTGCTATACAGTCATTTCTATGACATTTTCATCATATAACACGGGAATTCCATACTTTTAATAATTTGCAATAAAGTGACACCATTCATCATAAAATTGAACCATTGCATCGACATTGGCAGCATAAAATCAATCCTTTAGACATCACAATTTTTTCTTCTCCTCTCTCTCACACAGATATACACACAAACACCTTACACTACCATGGTAACCCACAAAACCCAACACTGCAGGATCCCAGAGGGGCGGGGTGTGCTTTTGCAAGGGTTGTTGGGGGTGGGGGTGAGGGAATTAGCTAGGTGTTGCGACGGTGAGCTGGAGACTTCTGAGGGAAAAGGAGTAGGTTCTACATCGGGAAAGAGGGTTTTTCTTTTTTATTGAAAAATGATAAATAGACTTACAAACTTGATAACAAATATAAGTCTTATAGCATTACTCTTTTTTTTTGGGAAGGGGGGGGGGGGGGGGGG